GTTGAGATCGAACGCTCCGGGACCGTTCATAAATTTTACTAGCCAGTCATGATTAGTGGTACAGTTTTTTAGTTTTAGCTTCGACGCGAAACTGAGAAGGTATTAATTTTACTATGATGTGTTTTTTTATTCATTTTTGTGTCTGTTACCACTTTTTTTCAGCTCTTACCGAACCGATTTCTTTCAATGACACATCAAAAGATTACAAATCGTATCTATTCAAAGATATTACCCTCACAAATTGAAAAAATTTCTCTCATTCCTCAGAAATGTGGAAAATCTCCAAAAAAATTACAAATTTAAAAATCGCAAATTTTTGAAATTATTTCATTTTTTTTACTTAAAACTACCATAACATTTTTAAAAATTATCAAATTAATATAATTTTTTTGTATATAGATACGTGAGATATTTACCTATTATTTTGTATATTTTTTTTATAAATCTGACCCTTTACCTGCCCACAGGGGGGATTCAAAATGACAATGTGTCAATTTTTATACACGTTTGCCATAAAAGTAATAATTTTGTATAAATTCTCCGAAAAAATTACAATACTAAATTATTAAATACTAATCTCATACTAATTTAATTGCTATAATAAATATTTATTCATATACAGGGTGTTCAGTAAATAAGGAAACGAATTTCTATTGTACTCATTGTTTGTAACAATTTAACTGTTTCCTAACTTACTGAACACCCTGTATAATACTTCTAATTCAAAAATCGAATAATCAAGAATAATAAAGGAAGTTGGAATTCATGTAGCTTTTAGAATAATCCACCAATTTTTTAAAATTAAACATTATCTAAAGATTTGCATCAAAGTGTTTTTTATGGTAGTGATTTTAATCACTGTCAGATATCATCTATACTAAACCCAACTATACCACGTCTCCACTGTGCCGGGTTTTTTTTCCTCATCACTTTTTATGGTAGCAATATTTTCCATAGGGAGTTAATCTCAAGGTACCACTCTGTAACCCATATAGGTATTATTCGGATCCTGATTACAAAAATATTTTAACAATGAAAAAGCAAAACTTACTACATATAGATAGTATTAACATTTATTACACAATTAAGCGAAGCTATTTTAAAAATTACACCTGAACCTGGTTATTTGATTAGTAATGAACTTTATGATAATTACATTTGTGTTACTCTCGTATTTAAAAGGTACAATTCACATTATACACGTTTTACGTTATCTCACTCGCAAAATGTATGAAATTAAAAATTAGCAATATTAATAAACATAATAAGTATTCTTGTAACTTTCACAAACGACAATTATTTAAAGGTTACTGTTCTAAAGAGCACTCTTAGTACAATAATTAGTCATTTTATTAAAATTGTTGTACTGAGAGCGCTCTCTAGAACAATAACTCGCCGTTAAGTCATAGCTAAAAGTAATATAGGAGAAGGTATTATTGTGGAAGAACTATTAACTGGCAAAGGTATTAAAAATATCCATATAGAAATATTTAAATTAAGTACCGACCATTTAACAGTTTTACTTCCTAATAAATAAAGCACCTCCAATTATATTTTCTGTCAATCATTTAAATTGATTATTTTTATCATACTCTAGATGAAAGTGGTAAATTGACAGATTATGTTAATTTACTCAATTAGAGTATTTTTTTTAGATTATTACATTTAAAACATTTAAATTTTTTTCCTAAAATAAACGTTCAATTTTAATTACAAAATAATCTCATTTTGTGGTAGTATTTTATAAATTATAACATAATACACATTATTTAGTTTTTTTATTTTTGCTTTACATTAGTATTTATGTACAGTTATATTTTATTAATTAGGTTAATTTTAGTTTAAAACAATCTAAAAATTATTAAATCTACTATAGATTTAATAATTTACTATGTTCATAGTATATATTCTGTTACCTACTAGCATCTTATTCAATAAATTTTACGATATCAGTTATGTATACATAATAATGTAATACAAGTACATATTATTTCATTACTCCAATTTTCAATATGGAACCATAAAAATTATTTATTTAATTGAATTATAGTTTAATTGTATGTATATTTTTTTTAATAGGAGAGTAATTATTAAAAATACTGTATGAAGTACTTATGCCTTTATTACCAATATAAAAATAATTATTTTGTTATAGTTATTATTGTAAATTTGAGTAATATAATTATTGATTTTTATGTTATTGTATTTTATAATTTTATTACAACTGATTATATTACTAGTTAAAGAAAATTTAACTGGGATTTGAATTATATAAGCGTAAACGTTGTTCACTCCCCAATATGTTGGTAGGATTTGATTTGGAAATCAAACCAAACAGCTTGGACGTTAAATATCTTAAACATAATTTAAAACTATAAAGCATATAAAAAAAAATGTAATTTTTTAAAACTATATCTGAAAAACTTATAAGTAACATCAGTCTTTAAGTATTTTGAGCTTTTTTTATTTATTATACTTATTATTACTATTATTCTTTGAGAAAACCATAAAAGCCTTAAGATCCTATTTAAGGGATGAATCCTATACTAGATACATCCTCGAATGTTTTTACATTATTTAAGATATCTTAGATATTTAGATAATATAAAACAGTTTAATTTATTGTTTCTATTTAAAGTTATCACTATGTAATTTCTCTACGAGAAAATGCTAATAATTTTAAGTTCAATTCATAAACATTAAGTATATACTATCAATAATCAAAGTAATACAGATATAAAGTTCATTGTATTGTATTTCAGAGATAATATTACAGTAAAGTAATTATTATGACAAGCATAATGGTGTCATTTCTTATTCTGAAACCATCTCTTTTCTCTTATAGAATAAGAATTACATTCCTTCACTTTATTTATTTTATATAAACATGCTCTTATAAGGATACTTGCTATGTAGTTGTAAATCTGCATAACACACCGGTTATATACTTATCAACTTGAAATTTTACAAGGGTAATGATTTCCTTAGTTGTATGAGAAATAATTATGACAAGGGGAAACCATAGTGACTTACGCTATTTTATGATTATGCGTTCATACGTTTATAATTAATTTAGACGTTTTGAAACATGTAGCAACGTTGTGTATAAACCACTTGAAACATTACTTTTGAAGAGATGTTTTATTCATTTTATAAAAAATAACTTACAATAAAAATTAACTAATAACCTACAAGTAAAATAAGATAATCCAAAGATTTTGTATTTAAAAATACATTTTATAATATTTGTTTAAAAAATAAATAGTGGGCGATCACAAAAACATTTTCTTTAAGCGTAGGCTATTATTTTAATATTTATCTCTCAATTATGAGATGATTTATTTTATGTAGATATAAAATATTAACTTATGATAATGTTATTTCCTAAAGTATTATTCTATATATTTAAATTAAAAATATAAAAATACAAGAAAATGTAGTGAAAAATCATTAATAAGATTTATTATTCATTGAAAATAAATTAATAAAACACATTTCAAGCACAAAAAACGTTACATTAATTAATTTCAACAGAAAAAAATTTCATGCATCAAAAATATTCTCCCACGAGATTTTAGTCACATTATCAATGTACTTAATTACATACACATATTAAAAAAATATATAACTTAATATATTTTATTGTTGTAATAAAAAAAAAATTATATTTTATTTTATATTTGATGTATCTAATAGAATTTATTTTTAGCTTTTTATTTAAAAATTGTAATAGACGAAAATGGGTGTTTGTTATAAGACTAGGATTCTAGGTGCTATTAAACAGTATATTTAATAACATTAGATTTTTGCATTAATTCATTTTCTACTCGATTATTTACTTTTAAGTAAAATAACCAAGCTATTTATGGAAAGAGGCTATTCTATAAAATAATACAAATTAACAGATTACATATAAACAATCTATAGACAATAAAAAAAAAAAAAAAAAGGGAAAGTTTTCAAATTTATTTGTGCTTATTATTGTTTTATAATGAAAATTCAAAAGAGATCCGTAAGAAATTTAATAGGAAATTAATTTAAAAATATATACATTTTTATTTTAAATCATTTTTTTAATTTAAATAAATAAAATATATTTTTAAAAAAGTATTATCACATAATAGCGGTAGATTACGTCATATTTTAGTACATGTGCAAAATGTATTTCATGATAATGTCAACTCTAAGGGTTTACCAAAGTTAGAATAAACTTACTCAGGCATATGATAGAAATTTTTTATAAGCCGTCATTATTTGAATAACATTATTTTTGTCAAAATTTTAACATTAAGCAACTAAATACTAAATAAATATTAACTATATACCTTACATTCAACTATACAAGACTAGTTAAGACATTTACGTTCAGTTTATATAAAAACGGTTTATTTAAATTTTTCAATATATTAATAGCTTTTTTTAAACAATTTCTTCACAAAATATCAATTAAAGTATAAGTAATATTTTATTATATACAAGACCATACATTTTATAAGATTACTACATTTTATTGATATTTGTGTAATAGTTCACACTAATGTTTATGTACCATTGAAAAATTGTATTGTATTATTTGAAAAAGTAAATAGTATGCTCAAAGTTAGATGTATATTAATTAATGCCCGCAAATTATTTCATCAATAAATGTAGACTAATAATATATACTTTTAATGTAATTATAATAATCAATATATAGACATTTTGCGGGCTTAAAATTTATACGTTTATCGATTGAAAACGTCAATTGTAAATTCTTGTAATAGTTAATGAGAAGCCTTAAAAGCTCTAATGTATTACATACATATATACATTGACTCATCATTTATTTTATACCAGCCAGACGACCAGTATAATAACTAGAATATATTATCAAACGTTACAACACAACGATTGATTAGGAGCTTTGTCGACTGTCGCCCATTTTGCGAACTCCTGACCGACCTCCCATACGAAAATACGTGCGGTCGTACTATCGCCACCTTCTACCATTTCATGAGGTAGTTCACTATTCAACGGCTGTATGTGAAGTTAGCCGGTCAGTCCGTAGTCGGCATTGGCGGCACTCTGTTTGGGTATCGTCACGTCGTGGATTTTAATCTTATAAATGTAAAAATATATGAAATTATAGCCGTGACATTTAGCCGCACAAAAAAAATATATTTTTAAAAGTCAACCTAGTCAATGTAAAATTAATTAGTGCTTTTATCGGAAATTGTTTTTAAACTTAGTTTGAACATCGTATTTAAAACAACATTTTAATTACACGAGCGCATAGTAAGTAAAAATCAACAAAAAATTAATTTTTTTCTAGATTATAATTATAATTGTTTTTTTATTCTTTAATGTCTGCTCACAATATCTTCTATAGTTTCATTATAATTGAATTATGGCCTATATTATTATCTGATTTAATAATTGCTATTTAATATTGCTATACAATATTTAAAATAATTCCTGTCAGTTTTAATAAGTCAAATATGATCATTTACATTATCACGGTTGTACACGTGCGTAACCGGCGTATCGGTATGGTTTCATTTTACAAAATATAGAAACGCTGCGGTGTTTTGAATTCAGTAACTTATTGAACAGTAGAGGGCATTGACTGTACTGTATTTAAATATTATTTACAGCTATAAAAATTTTTCTAGCGAAGCCCGAATTTTCTGTTTAATAAATGACCAAAATAACAATAATGCATTAAATTACATAATGAATACGTTCTATAAATTACTCCAAACACTACCTATGGCATTTCAAGAGATTCCAGACGACTTTGGCACCTCTCCATAGTTAAAAATTAAGTTATCATTACGTATTATTTTGAATGATTTAGGAATATAATTTTATAATTATTATTGTATTTTGTTCTATTTTAGAGCGTGATTACATATGTAATTTTTGGTGCTAAAATATAATCTTGTCAATTATTTACGATAATGATTGTATATTAGGCCTAAAACTTAAGATATGTGTTATTAGTAAAACCTCAAATTTTTAAAATAGTCATATTCATTAGTTGATGATTATTTTATTTGTATTCGCTGTTTTCATTTTTAATTTCATTAAATAGTTTTTTTTATTAATTTTATGATTTTAAAATATTATTTTTTTTTCTCACTAAATGTATTTCTTACTATCAAACAATTTTAAATAAATGTGGCGTACTTGAAATTTTAATGAAGGTTCTCAAAAGAAAAATTTCTACACTTGTAGTGTATTTTTAACGTAAATAAATTAGCAATATATACTAGATATATGTTACCATATCATATATAGGTTATAATTTGCATTTTTCCAAAGCAAATCCTCCAGTTTCTTAATAATCCAAGTAAACTTTATGAAATAATACTTAACTAATTGATACTCAAGTTAAATTTCAATTATACATCCCTTTTTCTAGAAAGGAGCATGACTTAACTACTTACAAGTAGTAAAAGTTGTAATAAAAATTAAAAATTCTTTAATTTAATGTATGTACTAGTGTTCCAATAAAACATGTAATGTTTATTAAACTGCTGTTTGTATTAGTTTGTATAATTGACACTCAGGTTTTATTTTCTTTCGACATACCAAAACACCGTTTTTAAAAAAGATTACTAAATGTAGTATAACATATTTGATAAAGTGCTTAAAACCTTGAATTTATTTATAGCAACAATTAAACATTTTTATTCAATAGAATTTTATAAATAATGTTCTATTGAGAAAAATGTATTTTTAAAAACCGTCAGTTATAAAGTACTAAGTACATATACTTGTATTTGGGAAGAAATATCGAACAAACACAAACAAAAATTATATTTGTATCTACAAAATAGATTATACTAAATATATATAGTAAAATATAAATTAAAAACACTCAATATGATATAAAATAAAAAAACATTTTTAGTAATAAAGCAAATCTTGAACAAAAGTTAATAAAATAAAATTTAATTTTCTACTTGTACTAAAATTAATATTTACTAATTTTTCAACAGTAAAATATAAACTATTAAAAGTTAATTTATTTGTACATTTTATAATATACAAAAAAAGTTTTCTCACTTATGAGTGTATTGATTTTAAAAATATTATACAGGTCGATAATGATGTTATAATAAACGTATAACTTTTGATTCATTAAAAATTTGTGTTTATTTTTTTTTAGCATGAATGCAAAGCTGAAAAGGTATTAATTTTACTTTATGTTTTTTTTGTCCAACTCAATTTTTTTCCAAAACTAAATTTTTTTTTAACTTCAAACCACTTTTTGGTAATATTTTTAAAAATAATTTTATTTAGTAGTTTCTTTGTCAATTTTATTACAATTTTAATTTAATACCGTTATTACAATATAAAAAAGTACTAGTTGATATTTTTATTTAAAATACCGTAGAAAGGAAGATCAGAGTGATGGAGTCACTAATTTTTATAAAAAGTTTAACTTATTTTGAATTTTTGCAAGGTCATCTAATTCGAGAAAAACGACTGAAAATTTGAACCAGCTTAAGTTGCTTTTTTTATTGTCCTACAATTACAGTGGTCGATTGCCGTTATGGTACATGAGTATCTTTAGCGTTTGAGGTATAGAAGTTAAATCCTATCAGTCGCGTTGATTTTATATACTTTTTTCTTAATGTTTTTAAACATTGGAAAAAAGTTAATAATTTGTTTGATTTTTTCTCAATCTGACCTCTTAGAAGATATAAAAACTTGAAACATACGTATAAAAAGTAGAATATTTTCAAATTACTCTTTTTCATGATAGTGATTTTCATGACCGTCAAATATTATCTTACTTGTCCTAACAATGCCACATTCCCACTTGGACGAGGCCCTATTGTGCTGGGATTTTTTAAATTTATATATTCTTTATACTTATAAAAATTTTCATGAGAAAAATAAAATATGAAGATAGCCATTTTCAAAAGTAGATTTTAAGAAAAAAATTAGTATAAAAATATCTTATTAATATAATAAATTTGTTACTTTCACATTAATGTGAAAATATGTTTTACTTTTATTATTTTTTACAATAGTGCCCAACTTTTAATACCGCAAAATAAACATGAAAGTATTCAGAATTTTACAAAAGTAAAAATGGAGTAACAATATAACAAGAAAATATGAATAAGATATTTTTTTACTAAATTAATTTTTTTATACACTTTCTCTAAAATATGACTGATTTTTTTACATTTTAGCAATTTATGAAAATTAATTTTTTCATTAATTGCGTCCAGTATTTAAATAAAATAAATAAATTTAAAAAGTAACTCGTAATATTTAATAGATGAAAAGTTAAAACATCGTCAAGATACGTGGAACGTTCTGTATTTCAGTATGTATTAAACTATTACTTTTTATTATTTGTTTATCTTAATATTGTTTAAAGATAGCAAATCCTAACAGTAATATGTAAAATAAATAACGTGTCTTCTTTCTAAAGTCAACCTTATGTTCTATTTTTGATAAAAAAAACTTCAACTTTACGTTATTCTCAATATGATAGATACATACGTGACTAAAAGCTTTTTCGTTATTTTTATTAAAATTGCATCGATAGTTCCAAGGTTTCTATTTTATTCCTTTTTTCTGAATTCGCTTAACTACACGATAAAGTTAACATAGTCGGTGTATTTCGCTTCTGATAAAGTACTCCATAAAGTGTCGACTATTTTAGAACTGAAATTTTATTATCACAAAATATGTACTTGTCAGTTATTGTAATAATAATCGTCTCGAGTGCATTATTTTCTTGAGATGTGTATGTTATCAATTATGATATGTTTACAAGTACTAGTCAGCAAAATAGTCTATCGACATAAATGTCAGAATTATTATGTTCTATAACAATAGTGTAATATAAATAACGTGTCAAATTGCTATATTTAAATATAGGACACCGAACACATATTTAGCTTCGATGCGAATGTGAAAAAGTATTACTTTTATTCTGATAATTTTTTTTTTTTTAACTCTTACCATTTTCTCAAATTTGACCTAATTGAAGACATTACTCTTAAAAATTGAAAAAATTCCCTCAATCCCTGTAAATATGAAGAAATCTCAAAAAATTACTATTATAAAAATCGGTAAATTTCGACTTGTTTTTAAACTTTTTTTTAAATAGGAGAGGGTCCCTTTCCAAAAGATTTTATATTTCATAACTGAAATTATAATTAACTAACGAGGATTAAAATAATCATAATAATAAATAAGTATTTATTCGTGTATTATATTTATAAATCATAAAACTTGTAAATAGAAAAATATAATTAAGGAAATAGTAGTTGATGTTTCATTTAGAATAATCTAACAATTTCTTCAAAAAATTAAACACTATCTACAGATTTGCATCGAAGCGATTTTTAATAATGATTTTAATTATTATTAGACATCCTATATACTTAGTCTTAACTATGCCGTATGCCAGCTGCACTAGGTTATTTTATAAATTGTACATATTAATGAATATATTCAAATTATTATCATTGATAATATATTTTTTTAAGTCATGTGCCAGAAACGGCACAAAAATTCTAACACCTGAGGCACTTGCCCACTATGACCCTCCTTAAGTACGTCTTACGTAGCTATTAAGTTAATAAAAAAAATCTTAATAAGTTTTAATTGGTAAAATTTAATATATAATATGCTTGTTTTAAGAAGTATACTATTATCAATCAAGGTTCGTTAAATCAACTCAGTTTTATGAATTTAGAAAAAAAATTTAAATCAACACTTTTTCAATTTGGAGTTCTTTTTAAAAAATTTTACTATTTCACTAATGATAACTTATTTGAAACTTCCTAAGTTCATTTTTAAATATTATCATTTCATTAGTTTGACTTAATCTGATATAAATATAAATATATTGTATGATTATATAATATAATCCGATTGTAATAATTATTATTTAAAATACTTGAAACGTGAATACCGAATTATATCCTGGTTTGTTTAAAATTCAATATAAATTATTAACTTTCTTGAAAGTCCATTTGGAAAATTATCATCAAGATCTTCAATTTTGGGGAAAGTTCATGAAATTGTGATGACATCAGTCTTTTATTTTACCGTCTCAATATCGATTCTCATATACCCTTAAAACTTATTGCACTATTTCAACAAATTTCTCTATAAAAGTAATAGTAATAATATTAAACATAATTTTTATTTTATAATAAAACAATCAAATTAAAAGCTACAATAAAAAAAAAGAAAAAATTATTTTATTTGTATTGAAATTAGATAAATATTTTTAAACAAATTAAGTAGATAATTAATGTTTATTAGACAAGCTATAATACTAACATTTTGATTACTACAAGATCTTTAATTTATAAATAATTGATACTATTGCATATTATATTTCATTAAAATTGAATTAGACGCAGAATTGAACTGATTTTAATAATACTTCAAAAATTAAAAAAATATATTTTAACTTTTTCTAGAGAAAAAACCACTGAGTTAACCTCAGATCATTGAGTCTTTATTGTGTTTCCATTACTGAATAATATGTGCAGTTGTAAATTGTTAAACATTATTTGACTTCTTGCTTGTTTATGCGTATTTAGTGCCTAATTTATAATAATGATACAATTTTTAAATAGTAACAAATTACAATGTAACTAAATCATCTCATTTCTATAATGCATTATTATAAATTGTAGTTTGTTTAGAATAAAAAATTGACATTACTGTCTTATTAGTTTTATGTACTACCTTTACATAAAAAATTTAACTATTTTGTAGATTTTTGTAAATTATGTATTCTAATGTGAATAATTATAAAATTATACTATTTTAAGATAATTTAAATCCTAATTATTATTATCTAAATAATTTCAAAATCCTATGTTGGAGTGACAAGAGTAGGTTAATTGAGTTTTAACCTAATTCTAGCCTAATTTTAACGCTACATTTAATATTATACTATCGATAACTAAATGATAAAATTTTATTTTATCGCTGTTAAGTTGAGAAACAACATACTTTGTGTTTAATTGGCATTACCAATATTTTTTGGCGAATTTTCTAATGCCATTAGTAATACTAGTACTTTTTTCTGTTGATGAATTTAATTAAACAAAAAATTAACAGATAGCCAATCGTATAAAAGATAGAGCTAAGATAGTTATTTCTATATTATTATATACACAATTAAATTTTTCATTGACATCTGAAAGTTGTTATTATGAGATATTGTTCCCGAAGAAATAATTTTACAATATAACTCTTGATGAACGCGATCGTATTTGTTCTTTAATTATTTTTCGTGTGATAAGCTAACTAATAATTTCAATAATGAATTTAATTTAATTAATGCGAAGCAAAATATTAACAGCTGTATCACATTTCTGGGATTCTTATAAATTTGCTAATAGGAATATTTTCTGCTCGTTAAATTTTATTATGTTGAGAATCAAAACGCTATTTCAAGTACTATTTCATAACAGCGAATTATTTATGTTTTTGCTAAGTTTGTTTTCTTACTTGTAAAATTTTCTAAACAACTGATCTACTGAATAATGTTGACAGCACTCTGAATAATAACTAAATGTCCAAAGTTTAAGTTCAAAAACATAATTTATGATATATTTAAATTATAACAAAACTACTTGTTCTACTGAGGTATAAACTCAAGTGAGTGAACTATGACACGATTTACAAAAGATTCTAATTATAAAATATAATTTTACTTTCCTACGTTTTCTGTCAATATTAAAACTATAGCTAGCATTCAATTATGTTGTTTTCAAGGTCGTTCGTAAAAATTTTTTATGAAGGAGCAAAATATTTTTTTAAATATTTAATTTCATAAACCGCTCAACAGACCAAGTGTTGAATACGTGTGTTATTTATAAAATTATGTGTCTCTATATAAATTTAATAAATAAAACCAAACGTCGTGTCATCAATTTATAAAAACAATGCCCTTAATCCTGAAATTCATAATACAATTTAATAGAAACTAATTTTTTTTATCTTTTAATTAAAAAAATTTCATTTTGCATAATACAGAACGATTATAAATATTGACCAAGCAAAAAGTCATGAGTTCATGCGTTCTCGTGAAAAATACATTAATAGATTTACAACAACAAAACTATTTGATTCAAACGTGAAAGACCAAGCTTTTTAAAAATAAATGAAATGAAGCGTTTGTTCTTATATTGCAGTGTTGATAAATAAAAATAAATTCCTAGATACAGGTCCTTTGATCTTACCGGAACCGAAAAAAACTACAGCGCAGCTTTAACAGAAATATTTTATATGCTGTTTATTGAAAAAACTTAAACAGAATTCAAAACAATTTATCTGTGTTATAGAATTCTACTATTTATCAAATTAAACAAACTGATTTTTATTGAACTTTTCTCTTGTGATTGATGTAGCATCGAATAAATAGAGACAAGATCATACATAAGTCATAGGGTTAGAGGTTCAACCCCTCTTCGACATGTTGAAAAAATAAATTTACTGAATAACACCCTTATTAAGTTAATAATGTATTTATAACCAAATAAATATATTACACTTTTAATCGTGTAAAAGTACATGAAACGATAATCATCGTTTAATATATCTGTATAATCATGTTGTCCATTTGATATAAAAATAAAGTCTCTAATTGTTATAAATCAAAAAATAAATTCGTACCTGCCTAGTTTTCTAGTTTTGAAACAAAATATCCCTATAAGTTTTGTGTAAACTATGCAAGGAACGTAAATCAGTTATATGAAAATATAAGACTTCATTTTGTAGGCGTCAGGTGGGGAGACTAGTTTACAATTAAGCCCCTTAGAAATTTAGCAAAATTATATGCTTGCTTTATAGAAATTATTTTTCAAAGTCAAAACTATTTAAAGTAGTCTTCCCTTTAAAAAAATTATTATCCTACGCCCTATGTTTGGTTTAACATAACCTCTTAGAAAAAAATTGTTTTGGGTTACAGTCTTGAGACTAATATTTTATATTATATAACATGTATGATTAGACTTTAATAAGTATTCCAAGTAAATTTTATTGTTTAGAACCTTTCAGAAAAATGTTGAAAATCCGCCACTCATTAAAAATTTGAAATTTAATCATTTTATAAAATTTAATGTTTCAGATAAATTACTGTTAATTGTTACTATTGATTCAGAATAAAATGGCAAAACAACAATTAGAATTAAATGGATCCAGATCTGAATTTAATTTTCGAGGGTGTCTAGTCGTTTTAGCCAGTTTTATATGCAATGGGCTAGTATTTGGATTTATTAATTCCTATTCAGTGACATATGCTCATTTAAAAGAAAAGATGGAAAGTGCGGGAGATAAAGAATCTGCATCTAAAGCGGGTAAGAATCGTACAAATATAAGAAATTAACTTCGATTAAAATTAAAACGTATTTATTTGTAACAATTAACTCATTTATAACTGTAATGTATAGATTTGATGTCTATATAAAAAGTAATAATTTTTTAACTTAAATTCTTAGTAATTTATTATAGAGTGACTTAACAAATTTCGTATAAGAAAATTTAAAATAACCTCGTGTATTTATTGAATAATTTGTTTGGATGTGTAATGTGGTTATATGTGATGAATAGTCTTTTATTAACAATTTAGGTTCCAGAAATCACAACAAAGCCCCTTTATCATCATAATTGAATTATTTTATTTTATTTGTCCCTGAAATTTATACATCAAAGAAAATGTACTCTTCGAAAAATTTTTTAACCATTCAAATATTCTCATAGTTATACTAAACTAATTTTATAATAATGAGCATCTAAACTTAACTCTAATTTATAAATCAATTATCATTATGGCTTATTGAAATATTTTATATAACTTAATGTGTAAACTTATTGTAATTACATTTATTTAAATTAATATTTTTGGGATCTTTAAGTATAATACCACTAGTTATAGGTATAAAAAATTGTCAAATTAAATATAATAAAATAAAACACAATACACATATTATTATTTTAAAGATCGCAGTAGAAAATAGAAATGAAAATAATAATATTTGCGATGATACAACTATAGCAACCGATAACAACGAGCGTACTGGCAGTTAATTCTAAAAATAAATTACCCAATATAGTAATATACTAATATTTTACGACGTTGCCAATCGTCCAAAACCTGTACATAAAATTGCGGCTTATCCGCCCCCGCATCCACACGATTGGTGCCTTGTTTATAATAAACGTTTCAGAATATTGCTCGGACGACGCTCTCAGTCGTCACTAACACTGCTCGTATGTGTATCTGCATGTACTAAGGAAAACAACTTGAATTTTCGCACTTGACAAATGTATTACAACTATTTTACTATTTAAAAATTTTCATTTTTAATTAAAATGTAGAATTAAGAATATACAATTAATTCTCTTTTTTTAATTAATTTTAATAGGGGGTGCGATCGTCCCGTCGTCCAAACCACGAGCTGCCACTGATTTAAACTATTTATACAAAAAATCATTATTTTATATTGACGAAAACAGGAATATTTTTTTGGCAAGCGAGGTTTTATTTATGATTCATTTTTTCATTAAACATTTTTTTTCTGCATTGCTGTTATAAATAATAAATAACAAATAATTAAAAAGTAAAAAAAATGTTCATTGGTAAATTTTTTGGTTATATTGTTAAAAAAAATTATAATCAACTTGGACATTCGTTGCTATTTATTTCGAGGGTAGGGATTGCAACTCTCTGTACCCTTTGGGTGCGCCACAGTTATTACATACTGTGTTATGACTTATTTTTATCCATATTTTAATATGAATGAGAATCGTCGGTATTTATTGCAATTAATTGAAACGCATTTGAACTAATATACCCCAAAGACCGAGCAACATGACGAATATGATCACCTTTAAATTTTTGTATAACATTTAAAATTTCAATTTTTTTGCTTAACACTTTTAGTATTCAATAAAATAAACGGAAGAAAAAAATTATCTTCTAGCTCATAACATTTTGCCTACAGTTCAGGTTTATGTTAGATTTAGACTTGCCAATTTTCTCCTGTACTCTAAAGTTACTTATCAAGTCTACAAAATATTTGTATGTGCTGGATGTATTCTTTGAATACTATTTAATGTAAGGTTTACAAATTTATATTTATTCTTATATTATTTTTAGCTTTGGTTGGTTCTCTTACTATGGGTACTACATTCCTGATGTCACCTGTCGCTGGTGTTTTGACTGATCACATTGGTATTAGATTAACCACATTCGCTGGCGGTGTTATAGCCTGCTGTAGTTTACTATTATCATCATTCTTTACAAATGATGTATGTATTAAAATTAAAATATAATTTATTTAAATTGTTAGCTTAATTTAAGCTTTATTTAACAATAATCAGGAAAAAACGCGCGAAATCTACGATTTGTAAAAATGTTTTGTGTTGCTGATCATTTTATTAAAAATCGCGTTAATTTATAGACATTATCTAATTTAAAATAGTTATGTAATAAAAATTTTATTTTATTTTCGAAACCATCAATCCGTTAATATTATAATTAATTAAAATACGTCTTTGATGCATAAATAAAAAGTTATAAAACGACTGTTAGTTAGAAAGTTCATACATGAAGAACTCATTACTTATATACTCTACTGACGGTTTTTACCCAGTAAATTAATCGATTAGAGTTTCACACATTGTGCTGAATTTTCAAAGAGCTTGAGAATTGTTATTCATTGGAGATTCTTGTTGCGAATTTGAAATTAGTGCTAAAATTACCATTTAAAGGACATCTTTTAATGATTAAAGTGGATTTCACTTAAAACAACTGACTTAATTATTTGACTGCGACACATGTTATTTAAGAATGTGCAACAATTTTTATTATGCTCATTTGCTTGTTTTAAAAATATTTTTATACAATTCTATGATATAATTAAGAATATATTAATACAAAAGTACTGATTAAATATTTAATTATTTTTATTTACCATGATAAGTATCATATGTATTGTACCAAAAAAATGCATTTTAGGTATTTGTTAGTTGGGTTAAATGAGGATCTAATTATTTTTTAAACTTTTAGACGGAGAATAGATTAAATGATCGATAATCAGTTTTGAATCAGTTACCTTTTGGGATGTTCTTCTAACAGTATAAAAAAAGAATTATAGGTCGCCATTTAGCTTAAAATTATCCTAAAAATTAATTTTTTCTTACAATAAAAATGATATTTATCGTGGTTCATAGAAATAAATAAATCTAAAACCAATCCTTTATTATGAAAAAATTATTACTTAACAAAAAAATAAATGAATTAGTATTTTTCATAAATCACACTCTATGTGTATTCATGAAAAACGTTGCCATGCAAATCAACTAAACTAAACTAATTATTAAAATAAAAATAAATAGTAATTAAAATAATTGTCTTTAAAACATATTCTAACAAATATTTATTTTATCTTGGTAAAATAATTATATTTAAGAGATCAAGTTGTTATATTAGACATAAATTTTATCTTTATTGTTAAATGACTTCAATTAAAATTTATTGTACAATTGTTTAATGTCATATAAATTGATTCAATTTTTTATTAGGTAGTTAAAATAATTACATTAGATAAAATATCATTGGTGACTTCATTTGAACTTTAATAAGTGAACACCAAATGATAAATTAAATAAAATAATTTTAAATAATGTGATCAATTAAAAAAAAGTTATAAGTATAAAGAATCATGTTTTTCATGTTTCCTGACTAAAATAAAAAATAGAAATTTCCTTTTTAATATTCTAAATAGTATTAATAGAATACATTTTTAAGTTAAGTATTGCCGCCTGTGTCTTAGCCTTAACAAGATATAGAGCATAATATTTTCAATAATCTTATAATACTCTTATAAATATACAGATTAGAGCTCATATAAATAAAATAAATATTTTAAAAGTAATTTAAAATTATAAATAATCCATTATCCTTTTATACTCATGTAACTAAGTAATGGTTAAACTATGTAGATGAATTCATTAAATAAAAATTTTAACAAAATGAAACCACTTAACTTACAAAAACAACAATATATTAATAATGATACATTAATATTTTTCTTATTAACAAAATATATAGATATTTCATTAATTGAGAATCATTGTATTTTTTAGGTTGAAGTACTATACGTTACGTATGGACTTTTATACGGTATTGGTGCATCCTTAGCATACACTCCATCTTTAGCCATCTTAGGTCATTATTTCAAAAATTACATTGGTCTTGTTAATGGTATAGTAACAGCTGGTAGCTCATTTTTTACTATGGTCCTACCCTACCTTGTGGGATATCTTTTAAATAACTTTGGTTTCAGTAACTGTTTAAGGTTAGTAATTTTTATCATTTTAATTCTTCATTGAATAGTCATCTGTTTAATAATCATTATCATAATTCAAAATTTATACTTAATTAAATTTTTTGAATGTATTGATACTTTATTTATTATATTCTTATTTATACTATTATATTGTAAATTAGACATTGTTCATATAAATTATAAATAAATAGTCTTATTACATAATTTTATGTCTTTAACTCGATATCTATATTAAACTATTAAATACATTTTCGCCTCCAGTATTTTTAAAGGGTCAATGTAATATACATCGTTTATTCTATTATTTAATATGACCATTAAATCAACAAAACAAAGCGACCATTAAATTTTTATATATTAGGGTGTTTATGTTTACAATGGTGTATTTCAATAATATGTCATTACATAATATTGAAAAAGTCTTACTAAATTTAGTATGCCTTATATTACAGTATATGATAAATATGCTATATCGGTCATCAAAATAATCTGGTAAATTTGTTATACTCTTTTAAACGTAACTAATTACATGAATAACTTAAGTGTACCAGAATTCTATCTGAACTACGTTCAAATTAATCTATTGAAGTCATGACTTTATCAATTTTTTTTATATATATTTTTGATAACTCTTTTAATCAAAAATTATTTGTTCATTAATTAAAAATCTAAATTGAAATGGATTTATCATTCAAATTTTAATTAAAATATTTTGCACAAAACAACATTTTTAAATTTATGGTTAATTTTCACATAAACCACTTTTAATTCGATTTATAAAATATCAGGTGGTCTTTATTACTTTTAAACTTTAAGTATACAATAGTACGTAATTTTTCCTATATTGTAATCTGAGGGAAGTTAATCCGTTGCCTGTGTGTAATATAAATAAAAAATAATTATAACTATTTATACGTCATATATACAGTATTTAGGTCTTGCGTCTAATTATATAATAAACATTCGCTTTCTTGGAAAATTACTTAATGTGCTTCGATTTAAAAAAAAAAAATGTTTAACAAAAGTACTGTCACGAGACTCCGGTAATATTATTGGGCGAATGTCGGAGTGTGGCTCGCTCACTCGCATTTTAAAATGTCGACCGTTTTCGAGAAAACGTTTGATAACGACACCATTTTAGTATTTAAGGTTTGAAATTTTCACCAGACCTACTCAAAGACATTTCTGATATATCATCAAAAATTAACGCAATCCGTTCAATTTTAACAGTTCTACAAGTTTCTTTATTTTACGCCTACACGCAGTTTTTATTAGGACTCGATTTTGCGTGTGCACATTACAATATATTTTGTGTATTTTATCAATCATAATAGATTGATAATTATATATAAATGTCTTGGTGGATTTTAAGTATTTAAGTTTGTACATATATTATTAGACAGTACAGTATTAATAATCTTATTTATCTCATATATAATGTATAAATCAATGAGATTTTCATAAATATTGAAACTTATCTAGAATAACTATGCTGTACAACGTCAAATCATAGTAACCAACATTCTTATCAAATTTGTCTTTTTTACATAGCATTAGGAATAAACATTCGTAAAATTTTCAAAAATATTCATACAATTATTATAATTAGAATATTATTAATTATTTTGTATATCAGGAGGATATGGGTGGTTTCCTCCCTTGCTATAAATATATTTTTAGGCCGACTTCCATTAAATATGGCTATAATGACCTTTTCTTTTATTATAACTTTGATTTTTAGAAAATAAAATGTTATAGTATCTTTAAAAAAGTAAAATATTTTCCTAAAATGATTTTTGAATACTCCCAATACCTCAGTAAACAAATGTCAAACTTATACACAATACATTTTACTTTTTCATCTTTTTGAATTATCCTGATTTTAATAATTAAATTTTTAATATATTTTTGTTACAATGATTCTTATTTAATATTTTTCTTACAAAACACATATCGTGCCAGGCGTAGCCGGATATTCTTATCGGAATGTGTGGGGCCTACTTATATGGACGGCCCTGTAAAGGTCTCTGGTCTGGGGTGGAAGCCCAGTTAGGTGGAGCGTAGTAACATATACAATCATATACATACACAGATCTTACAGTCATATTCATAGCACATATCTAAAAATCATTATTGAAAGTTCTTTAAATTCTTGTAGAAATATCAAATTCAGCTTTTATTTTGATATAAAATGATTTATTTTTAATTAAAAGTTTAATAATATTAATTGAAATAGATCCTTGATTGGACAGTGGATTAATAAATATTACATAGCATAAAAAATCAATTAGTCAAAATATTTTTGAAAGTCGATTTAAAAATTTATGTATGTTATAAATATTTTTAAAAAAATTATCTATCAATTATTTTGTAACTTTATAACTGAAAAAATACTCATTGTTATGTTATTTTATATTACAGCTTTCTATTTTGATTTTAAGTATTTTAAATATATATTAATATATGTTGAATTTAAATACATTCACTTTATTAAAAAAATTACAGGTGGGAGGCTGCTTTGACTTCTATACTTATAATAAGTTCTTTGGCGTTCAAACCAACGTATAAAATAGAAAAACCTGATATAAATAAAAGTATATCCGAAGAACTTAAATCACTGGTTAACATCGATGTCTGGAAAAATCCTAAGTATATTATTTGGGCGACTATGATACCTCTCGCTTTATTTGGATATTTTGTTCCATATGTTCATTTGGTTAGTCAACAAATAATCTAGGCTTTTTTTATTCTTGCACTCATAATTTGATAAAATTTATAGGTTGAATTTGTAAAATCAAAATTTCCAGGAAGCGATGGTAAAATTCTAGTAACTTGTATAGGAATTTCTTCTGGAATCGGAAGACTGGTATCAGGGCCAATATCTGATCTGAAAAAAGCTAATAGAATAATGATGCAACAGGTACATAATTACAGTTCATACATGCAACAAATACAGAGTGTTCAGTAAGTAAGGAAACAGGTTAATTTTTACAAATAATGAATACAATAGAAACTCGTGTCCTTACTTACTGAAAAGCCTATATATCATTCACATTTATTGATTAACTAATATCCTAAAATTGTTCAATCAAAAGTCAGCCATTATTTTGATCAATTAAATAATAGCAATTAATTAGTTTAAGAATTTTAATTTATTAAAATATAACAAAATTTATATCCCAAAAAATTTCTTATGAAAATTCATTTTAAGTAAATTTATTTATTAAATATCAAGATGGTTTTTATTATATCATAAAATGTAGGTATTGTTTCTCTAAAATTTAATAATTCTTTGCAGAAACAAAAAAAGCAATTAATAAAAAATTTAGGATGTAAAGTAGCTCGTTAAAAAGTTTGTCCATCTAAAAAAAAATAAAGTGATGGCATCGAACACTACATTTATAACACATAATCAGTAAGTTATTAATAACAATAACTGAATAATTATGCAATTGTGAGAAATAAAATATTTTATTATTTGATTTTAATTAATTTTATTAGGTTTGAAAAAATATGTACGATATGAATATTTTTTTATAATTAACTATACTTTTATAACACTGTTTACCACTTTAATAATATTTATTAAAAAATTACTTTATCATTGTTCTACCATTGTTTCATTGCAAAACGATTTCAAAATAGATGTTTAAATAATTTTGTTTTCATTATTTGGGGATCAATATTGGCACTTCATAAAATACAAGGAGTGCAAAGGTTCTCTTGATGTAGTTTTGTATGAAAAGTTCATTCAACCTTGTAAAAATTATTAAAAAATTTAAAAGAATTTGATTAACGTATTTCAAGGCTTTTTACAATATTTTAATATATTATACCGTAAATAATAATTTGTTAAACGAAAATTTCTAGTTTTTAAAATTAATTTTTTTGTTATCGATTAACTAGTTTAATGATTATTAAATATGTTTATAATTTCACTACATTAATTATCTACATGCCGTTTATAAAAATTATAAATTTAAAAAATTTTATATCATGGATAATTATATGATAATTACGTATACAGTAAATTTTTGCTAACTTTATTATCATATTTAATTAATCCTTTATTCTTACCTTATTCCTATATAAAGTAATAATAACCCTTATGTATCATTTATCAAACTAAAGAAATAATTTGCAACAAACTAATTTTCCACAAAACTTATGGTTTAATTGTAAACTGTTGTGTATTACTATGAAGTGAATCGAATCATAGCAATTATTATTATTTATTCTATAATTTTTATGAAAATTCATAAAATAACGTACATAAAATTAAATCATACGTAATTATTGAAGATATGAGCCACTGGATTGACCTAATAATTTATTTGGTTTGATAAGAAATCTTTATTATAAACTTGTTTATAATAATCTATATATATATAGCCGTAAAGTATACTGTAGACACTCAATTGGTAATGCTTAAATAAATATTTACGATAGTTTTGTGATGAGTTTAATCGTTAAATCGAATATAATGTTTCAAAACATTCTAAATTTATTTACAGCTAAAATTAAAAAACTTAAACTAGAATTTATGTCGTGATAAGGAAGATCATGAACTTGGTTTAAGATATTAGGTTATTTCGATTGTTACCTTTTCTAAATTTAATGAATGTGTCCTTGACTCTTAAACCAAAATTTACTGTGCTCAATAGTATTTACATAAATATATTAATCGTGTTAAGACAATAAGAATTCTTCTGCTATTCTTGGTTACTTTTGTTGATAGCGTATACTTATTGCATTTTAATTAATTCAGAAAAAATTACTGATTAAAATAGTTACGCCCTGATTTAAGAAGTTGATTTACCTTTGGATTAGATCCAAATTTAAATATTTATTTTATTAATAATGAATTGATGTTATGTTGTTATATTTTTTAAAACAATGCTAAATTTTCCAAAACAGTTAACTTAAATCTATTGTAAGACTTTTAATTCTAAAATGTATAGTGACTACTTATTATGATGCGTACAATATTCCTTTATTATTTAAAATGCAAACGAGAGAAAAAACTGTTTATTTTTTTACTAAATTTTTCTAAAAAATTTTAAAATGGATAATTTTTTTACACAACTATTATTTATAATATCTGCTCAAGATATATGATTCAACTTGAGTTATGCCAATTTGTGACAACTATTGTTTTCTTTCAGATTTCTCTAATTGTTATTGGATTAATGACTATGTGCATGATCTGGGTACCTCATTTTACCATTTTAGTATTGATAACATTAATTTTGGGATTGGCTGATGGCTGTTTTGTAAGCGTAATGGGACCTATAGCTTTTGACCTATGCGGACAAAAAGGGACTGCTCAGGCCATCGGTTGTATACTTGGACTCTGCTCTATACCCTTAACAGTTGGTCCTCCAGTTGCTGGTAAAATATTATAAAAAACCACTTTAAAATTTCAAGATGTTTATTTTATCTAAATCTAGGTTGGATGTTCGACAAAAACCAATCGTACGACGGAGCTTTCATGTTAGCCGGTGTGCCACCTATTATTTTTGGTGCTTGCTTATCTTCTATATCATACGTGTCATCAAAAGAAATGAACAATGTAAATAGAGGCTTCAAGGGACCAAAACTAATTAATCAAACATCCGAACTATTAGAGCCAGAAGGTAAGCAAAACCATAACTATAAAGACAACGAACAACGTCCTCTATTGAACCCGAAAAATCTCGTACCAAAATATTCACATTAGTATTAATTAAATATTATTGTGAATAAATCATACTAGTCAGCGATTATTTCTTTGCTAATTGCATTTAAATGTCGAGCAATAATATAGAGTATACTTATTTGCTTTTATATATGTAAACCAGACAAGTTTATATAAATATTTTTAGAACATTAATGATTACAAATATTTATTTACTTAATTTTGTACATTGTTATATTTTGTTGAATTTAACTATTGGATGTTATTAAAAATAAAATCGCACTGAGTGTTTAACACATGTAGTTACTAATTGAACCTAGTGTAGCGATTTTTTTAACTAAAAAATCATAACACTCACTGATAAAATGTTTGATTACGTTGTATTTACCTAATTTATAACTCGGGCTTATTAGTTATTAATGTTCTCCTTTGTTTATCTTTTTCACTGGTATGTTATTAACGTAATTAAGGTAGCTAGTTGATGTATCGCTAAATTGGAAATTATTTATAGTTAATTGTAATTTCAGGATATAAAGAAAAATTAGACAAGCCGTAACATTTTTCTAACAAATTTCATAAAAATAAATAGCTTATTAATTTTTTTTTTTTAATAAAAATTATCTACAAACTTATTGCAAACATTTATAATAAGAATGACGATAGTACATTTTTTTTTACTACTTAAGAAAAGCAAAAGGTACCACTACATTGTTAGGAATTTTTTTTTTTTACTCTTTCACAATAAGTAAGCATTTATAGGGATTTGTATTTTTTCCTTAATTCTACGTAATTATTTAACAAAGTTACTCTATAGATATTTATTAATTTTTAAATTTTTTTCGTTAAGATACTATGTGATATATTTTAAATTGTTTTCAATTAATTATACAATTTTATTGCCTTCATAAAATATGATACATTGATACCATAAATGGAATATGCATAACACATAATTGTGTGAAATAATGAGCATTAACGGATCTGAAATGACGTCTAAGTAAGTTAAAATGAAAATATTCTTTTAGGGTTTAAAAGTTTGTAATATATTTCTGTGCCTTAGGTCTAGAAGGGTCAATCTATAATAATAAAAACATTTTTTTTTATTTTCAAATAACTATTGTAGAAAAACTAAGTATGTTAGTAATATTATCGAACTTGCAACTTAAAATAGAAAAATCTCATTCTACTAAAGTATATTTAAATCATGTTGCTAACATACTTAAGAATCCTATAATAGTTATTTGAAAATAGAATAAAAAATTTTTCCATTTTCGTAGATAGGCTTCTCTTAATCCAAGGTACAGATTTATTTATTTTTTTCATCACTTCATTTGATTTTACGATTCTTACAGTAGAATATAGATAATTAATATTCACATGTCATCTACATGCATCATTAATGTATTCATATTTATTTTCATATAAGCTATAGACACAATCAATTTTCAACAAAAATATTGGGATAATAAATTGCATGTCATTCATAATGTGCATGAAACAAACGTATGCAATTTTTTTATGAACATTCCCTGTAAATACACAGTCGACATTCTAAATAATTAACTAACTTAATTTTTTTAATAGTGTGATGTAACTTATAACTGTCTTTTCTGTCTTTTAAGTAAATGCAAGCAGAAGTCAATGAACTTAACTTATCTAAATTTATGGTTATTGTTTATTTTTTTCTTTGGCTCATTATTAAACTTTTATTGTTTGCGGATGATGCTGTAAGATTAGCATAAATATTTTACAATATAGAATTTATAACATAATTTAAGTGTCAATAGTAGAAGCTAATATAGTTATTTAAATATGGAAATTTTTAATATTAGATTAAACTATTTTGAAATATTATTTTATATATAATATATATATTTAAATAAAAATCCAATTACCTGAAGAAAGTTTAGTCGATAATATATAGTTAAAAACACAGGTAATACTTAGTTTATATAAATAAATATTATTATAATTCCTGTTAATAATAATTACTAATAGATGGATAATTATTATACATGTTATTATTTTAACGCAATTTTCTATGCTACTAATTAGATTAATTATGCTTTAAACAGACATTAAAATATTAATTTATAACAAACCTTTAACACTTGATATTAGTTGGTATGTTAAATTACTTTAGTACATATCATCATAATAAAATACTAGTAAAACAGTCATTGTTTTTGGGTCGTATTATCAAAATTAAAAAAGCCTTTCTTAATGAATGTTACGTTTTACTAATAATTTTATTAATAAAATTATCAAGAGAGCTAAATTAATTTTTCCTTTACCCTAAAACAATTTTTATACAACATTTAACATAGTTTTCTTCATTTTTGGAAGTTAAACCTTCTAGTCTCTATAGCTACATATATGCCTAGGAACTAATGAGGAACATAAAATAGGATTGAAAAGTGTAATTTTTTAAAAATTTTCATTTTAAACTTGATATTTTATTGTTATTTAATTAAGCACGGCATACTCATAAAATAATTCACTCTTCACTTAAAAATTAAGAGTACTAATTTCGTTTATGTTATATCTAATACAATAATTTTTATTAATTATACCATAATATTCTAACGTGTTTAATTATTTATAATTAACTTATACTAATGAGTTTCTTAGTCATTGTCAGTTATGTTGGCATACTATTTTCAATTGTTAAATTTCATACTTCATGAAAATAAAAAATCACTTTAAATATTTTACAGACATTTTTAATATAATTCTCATATATAAATAACCGTTTGGTTTTAAAAATTATTTATTTTAATGTTTTTTTATTACTTCATACATAAATAAAAAAAAGATATTTTTACTTTCAGAAATGCAAGAAGTAAATTGTTGATTTCAAATTACTCTTCAAAAGAAATAATATTTACACCTTCTGCGTTCGCATGTATTCATAATGGAGGATGTATGTTACATTTAATAAAAACAATGTGATATTTTTGTTACATATAACTAACCGAATTGTAATTTTAATTTTGTTGTTTCTTAATTTATGATAAATGAAATTTAAACAACATTTTATTTACTTATCTTTCAGTTAATAATATTTTATAGATATTATAATTATTATGTATAAGAACTGTTTTAAAGTAAATTATTTTTGTAAATTATATTTAATTTGTAACTTTTTTTTCAATTAAAAAAAAAATCAACATTAATGCAACCATTAAATAAAAATTTCAATAGTTATTGTAAATGTTTTTTATATCATTTAACTAAAACTAAATAATATTATGTATTTTTTTTTTTGTGTGTATAATTTATTTCTGAGTAATTTACATATTTTTTCACTCTAAATATAACTACATCAAAGACCGACTCATTTAGTAATATTCAAATATACACATCAATTATACATATAATACAATGTACAGTCGAATTTAAATGAATATTGTAAATAACATTTAATATTTATTATATTTAATAATATTTATTATATTTAATAATATTTATTATATTGAATAAATATATTTTGGTTTCTAAAAAAAAATTTTATATTTTTTATAGTAATTAAATAAATTTTAATTGAAATATAAGGTCAATTTAAGTGATATTTGAAATAAAAAAGTTAAGTTACTTAATGTTATATATTGTGATTTAATAATTAGAAAAATCACTTTAATAGAATGAATCTTAAAGTGTTAAATATTAAATTCAAACTAATTTCAATAAACTAAATAATTTATTATACAATATTCATAGTTCCATTTTTTAATAATAAAATATAAAAAATCAAAGTTTAATTTATGATGAACTTAATAGTTTTCAATTTTCCCTTTACATCTTAAAAAGTTCTACAGTAGTTTTTATTATTTTATGAACATTTATATTGTTACTAAGAGTTTCAAATCCTTAATAAGCCATTCTAATGAACTAATGTTAATCTAAAGTATGTGGGCAATTTCTAATGTTACAATAATTAATGTCTTATAATATCATTGTAGTATTTAAATTATGAATTTTTATTTCACCTACATATATTTTATAAATAAGTTATTTGTTAAATTCCCTTAAGCAATGTTTTAATTCCTTGAAGACTTAGTCTAATATTTTTACAAAATATTAATTCCTTGTATGTGATTGCGCAAATAAATTTTTCTATTAAAAATAAACATTTTGATTGAATTATAATTTATTTAAAAAGTGTTAAGTATTAAATAAAATTCAAAATATTTATTGTTAACACATTTTTCAGTAAATTAATTATAATTAAACGATTACATACTTGCAAAGTATAAAATATAATTTTTTATTTAAAAATGTTATTCATTAACTATAGCTAAAAAAATGTGTTAGTCTTAAAATTTTAAAGATCGGAAACAATTAGATTTTACTCGTCGGCTAAGTGTACCTTTAACACCTAAACCGGTCACTTCTAAAACTTTTCCTGTCTTTGGATATTTCTTGAATTGCTCCTCACTCTCGCCTTCACTAATGGTCGTCACGTACAGTATATCCAATTCTGGTCCTCCAAAAGTTACTGAAGACACTAATTCTGCTTGCAGGGCCAATTTACCTAACAATTTTCCCGTGTGTCCACAAATATGAATTACCTGTCAGTTTTTAATAATGTAACATGTTAAATCTAAATGTATTCTTAAATTGTTAAACAGTTTATAATTAGTGATTTGTGTTTTTAATTTGAAATCAACGATCCTATTAATAATAAATAACTAATAAAAAAAGATAAACGCAAACAATCTTTAAATAGACAAATTACTATTTTTCTCATGGTATGCACCACTTACTTTTAACAATCAGTTAATTAGAATACAATGATAAACAAATGTGCAAAATTGAAAATACGCTAAAAAATCAACGTCACAACACAGTAAATACTTGAATTATTTATGGTCACTTTTGGCCATTAGACGTCAACGTTACGTCAATAAATTATATCTAAAACGGTAGAAGTATGAACTTGAATAAAATATACTGAGAACAAATATACTGATCATAAATAACTTATTACAGTTAAGTTGTAACTAGCTACTCAGCTAGAATAAGTTACATAACAAGCTTATACTCAGCTTGTTATTTGCATGAGACATGCTTATATGCCCAAACCAGAAGACTTAGCCCCTCCACAAACAATGTCCAACTGCATTTTAAATTATAGCCTGCTAACTATCAAAAGTTATCAAGTCAAAACTTCGATTTTAGTATAGAGAAAAAATTCTCTAACGTCACACATTATTCTAGTCACTATTCTTTTTTATTAACTTAAATATTAAAAACTATTGTTTATTTAATTTTAGCTCAACATTACACAAGATTCGTTGGCAGATAATATCTCTATCGCAAAACAGAAACCAAAAAATGTCAATTTTCTTCAATTGCACAAAAATATTCAACAAATTTGTTTAATGTTTAAAATATTCTTTCTCCGGTGACAACTTTGATACCATTTTGGTAGTAAATTTTTCCTACGCGATTCTTTCAAACGAATTAAGGTAAATAAGGATCTAATTTCTTAATTTCATTTCACTATAATGTCATTTAACATTTACGCAAGTAACAATATTAAGGTATTAGGAAAGTTGAACCGACTTAATGGTTTATAGTATTCGATTTTTGAACCAATTTAAAACTTAAAATAGTTTCACGTTGATATGACAGACCGAAAAACGCTTAGATGGCTTAAATATTCGATTTTGAAAAATTTTATTAATTCAGAGTCGGTCAATCTCACTCTGGACCGAACGAAATAGAACAATTTAATCTATAATCGCACGCATCTAATACCGATTTGGTTTAGTGTAAGATATTGTCTGAAATGAATTATAAAATCGCGATAAAATAAAAAAAATTGTATTATATAATCTCAAATATTTGTTATGAATTATTGCCTATTTAGAATTTAAGTGTTTATTATAGATAAGGCAATATAATAACATATCAAAATAAAATATTTTAAAGTATATTGATTTACTGATAAAAAAAAATAATGCCCCATAAGTACAGTTATATAAATAAGAGTAATTAAAGAATAAATTAATCTTTTTTTTACTAATTAATGTTATATTATTAAGGGTTGGGTTTGGCTAAATGGGTAAAAACGTATGTTTTGGCGCACGCGGTCTTGGGATCGATCTTCAGGGTGCCAACGAGATTTTTTTTAAAATCTTATAACAAAACAAGGAAACATTTTGCCAAGCCTGGATAAATTACTTACTAATAACAAGCTCCGATATTTAAAAAATTATTTTAAATGAAAAAGCACGGAGACATTACCATAGGAAAATTATTTGCAAAGATCATACAATTTTTTTTAGCGCTCCGCGAGAAGCAACATTTACAAATTTTAATATGATAACCTCATCTGAAATTGTAAGAATTTATTTTTCTTTAATTTGTTGACTCATTTAGTTAGTTTTTGTTTAATAGTTTAGTTGATAAGTTTACAACTGAATGGAAACAATCTAGTGGTTACACTAATACTTGATTAGAATTTACTACTGTTAAATCACAGAATACGTTGAAATCACGAAATCTAATCTAAATATTACCATAATTATTAATAAAATAATTTAATTGAAATAAATTATTGCACCCTAATATATGAAAAATATCTGATTGTGGTGAGCGATAACGCTCGTACATCAAACCAATTCCATCACTCCTAAAAGTAGTATTAAGCAAATTGTAATCGCTTGCTATAATAAATTGAGTTTTCCCAAAACAATAATTGATCAATATCCTTTCAACCTTATCAATAAGATTTTATACTCGCTAACATTACTATTAGAAGGGATGTAACAATATCATTATTACTGTATAAAGAAATAGATACAGACTACTGTTCAACATTGTCAATAAGTATTGGAATACGTATAAGGGTTCCTGCACACTATCTGATTTGATCGATCCGACAGGATACCTGACCAATCACATAATAAGTGGTCGATCAATCAGTTAGAACGGCAAACTGTCAAGAACCGACAAGACATGATCTGATTTGACGTGTGAACTACTGAAATTTTTCTGTCTGTCCGACCAAATCAAATAGTGTGTGCTGTCTTAACATAATGCTTATTCTTAACACTCATCATAATTCTTTCAGCTCTAGCCAAAGCATTAGTTTCAATACTTATACAATTAATTATATCAGTATTTGCGAACTACAAACAGAGTAATTAAGCAATAAAATAATAATGTTGAATTTTTTTAAACATATGAATTACAAGTTTTTAAATATCTATTGATTTTACAATGATATTATCGACTCTGTTTGCACATTATTTATACTTTTGTAATAATTAACGAAAATTTTTATCAAAATATCCGTTTAAATTTCAGTAAATTTTTAATTTTCTGAGAAATACATTTCAATTTACGAGAGTTACCTTTAACAGCTTTATTAGTATATTATATTCAAGTTCACACTAATTGATAAAAATGCATCAAACAAAAAGTATTAATAATTATGGCTATCAGTTTTTTTAATTAATTAATGATTAATATTCAGTAAAAATATTAATTAAAATTGTATTTACTTGAGCTCCGCCATAATTGGCCACCCACAAGTTATCATTTTCATCAATCGTCATACCGTCAGGAAATCCTGGTAATTGATCAGTTTTAAAATCGTAAAATACTCTACGATTTGCTTTACAAAAAAAAAAAAAAACAGGTAGAACGACTAAATATTAAATTATTACTTATAATTCAAAGACATACCCAACTTATTTTCTTTCGGATCGTAATCAAACAAGGCTATTTGTTTGGTAAGTGAATCTATGTAATACATTTTAGTACCATCATTGTTCCAAGCCATACCATTAGATATCGAAACATTGGAAACAACAGCTTCCATCTGACAGGAATCACTTAACTTGTACAGGGTTCCCTGGTTTGGTGGAAAGTTACCACCTTCATCTTTTCTGGCCATTGTTCCTGATTGAAAATATGATTATTATATACAGTATTGAACAACGAATTATTTTTTACGTAACAAGTTTACTAACCAGCATATAAAAAACCAGCGTGATCAGCCTTAGCGTCATTCCACCTATTATCTACTTTATTTTCATCTACAGTAATTAACCGCCGTTTACTATAGCTTTGATTGCAATTTTCACTCCATTTTAAAGCTGTTAATTCAGTTCCTAATCCAATAACAAATAAGTCTTCTTCTTCTGCGACTGGTATAATAAAACCTACATCTGTATCTAAAATATACGAATCATAAAAAAATACAATTTAAAAAGAAAAAAAATAATTACGATCAATATAGTTAATATAGATAATTATCGGGTAATTTAGGAAAAAAATGCTTTGTAACTTGTTCCCTACAGAAGTTTAAGTATACACAATGTATATTTACATATATAAGACACAAACCTGAATTAATAATATATGTATACGCTCCCCTCTTAACTTTAAGACCCTATTAAATCTATTAATAAACCTAATTTTTAAAATTTAATTTTTGCCTTACCAAGCTGAAGGAACTCTAGTTTACTATTTTTGAACCGGTACACACGATGTTGCATTATGTCAACAAAATAAAAGATCTGTTTTTGAGAATCCCAAAACGGACCTTCGCCAAGCACCATAACATCGTTACTTATGCTTTTAATAACTGCACCATCATAATTTACAGAACATTTACTTATTGTTTCCATTCTACAAAAAAGTTATAGTTTACTTAAAAAATTATCTAAATAGTTTATTCAAATAGTCTAAATACTCATAATTTAAATTATAGATTTAGTAATTATTTATTATTAAAAGAAAACTTCAAAAAACAAATATAAGTAGCAAACAATTTTTGTCACGGAGTAAGAGGAAGTAAAAATTAATTTTTATCATTTTATAAAACATTTGAATAGCCCTTAACTATAAATGAAGAATTTTTGCTTACTTTAACTGCCTCATCCCCTACTTTGTTAGAATATAAAAAATTAAGTTTTAAAAAATTTATTCAAAATTGATTAACCTTAAGACGTGCAAGAGGGTTGAAAAACGGAACCCAAGAGTACATTTTTTATTTTTTTGTTTATCTCAAAAACTAAAACTTTAATGACAAAATTAATAGAATGGTATTTGTAGATATAGTAATTGTTTATAAAAAAGAAAGTATAAAGTTTTGTTCTGAATTTATTATTTTTTCATAAAAAATATACATTTTTTTAATTATACAAAAATATGGATTATTTTATTATTTGATTATTATTCGTTATACAATAAAGTATTTCATACTTAAGTTGTTTAAAATTCAAATATAACCATTTTAAGTAAAAATTAAGGTGATCGCATTTATTTACTTTTATAAAAAGTATGTGTAAATAAGGATAAAACGCCATAATAATATGCCGTTTTTTCCTTATTTATAATCATTCTATTTTATCATATTATGATAAAGTTATGTAATATTCTTTGCTCTTCCTAAAAAAAATATCATTTTGAAAATATATAACATTTGCAACTTAATCGGATCATATGATATATTGTCGGTAAAAGGTTTTTCTTTAAGTGACAATATTCATAATTTTCAGGAAAGCCAAAAAACAATTCTGTCATTTTTAGCTTCGATGCAAAGCTGAGAAAGTATTAATTATACCATGTTTATGTTTTATTCTTTATGTCTGTCACTACTTTTTATCAGCTCTCACTAGACCAATTTTTCTCAACGATACGTCAAAAAATCACAAAACATATCTAGTCGAAAAATGTTCATCAAAAATTGAACATTTTCCCCTCGTTCCCGTAAATGGTGGAAATCTCCAAAAAATAACGATATTTAAAATCTGTAAATTTTGTCATTTTTTATTAAAACTGCTATAATTTTTTTTAAAATGAACAAATCAAAATAATTGTTCTTTTATTGAACCCTTTAGGGTTTCCTTTCATTTGATATACATTTTTAATGACTTGATTTTTCATTATCATCTAAGGGATCTTAGTCTACCAGTTATAGAAGGATAAAAAAAGATAAATTAAATTAAAACGCCCTATTTATTCTACTTTTACTATTCAATAGGTTCTATTAGAATTGACAGTTTGAGGTCTATAACACATATAGCTTTTTAGTTCAAAATCAATTATTATAGTTAATAAAAAAAATTAACAAAAAATATCTAATATCAGCAACATAGCAAGCCATTGGGCGGCAAAAGGTTTCATTCCCAAACTTATTCTTCCATGATTGTATTTACATGCATAGTTTATCTTGCCGCTCGTATAGATATAAACATATTATCATTATTCGATAAGATAAATGGGCATGCTGTTAAATCGTGGTGATATAAACAATTATTTCATAGTTATTGAATAATTAATCATATTTTTAGCGTATATATATACATTTAATTTTGTGGTAGTCTAAAAATTTGATATTGTTTTAAAACTAGTTACATACACATGACACAGAATTTAATATGTAGGCTCTTAAATTAAGTAAATTTCACTAAACAAGTAATTGTAAGTAAATTTGTAGTATTTTTATTTATTGAAAAATAATACTTCTAATTTATAAACAACAACGAATCACAAATTTACATAGTCCGCGACATACGTTTAAATTGTCAAATGTTACTATAATGATTTTATAATTACAGACGATTTTAATTTATATTGTATTACAGAGTGCATTTATAAAATGTGCTTACAATAATATTTTTTAATGTAACTATTACTGTGGTCTGTTTATTAGAACTTATAGAAAATGATGATAAAAAATATTTAAATTTAATAAACTTTTATATTTTTTATTGATTTCAAAGAATTATTTTCAATAAAGAGAAAGCTAATAAAAAATTTTATAATTCACAGGTGTTGTTTTTTATCACAAAATACAAAAAATGTGTGATCTAATATCTTAATTGTTCATTTTCGAAAAAAATGCTGCTACTTACCTTTAAAAAGAAATTAACAACTACCGATATGAAGCGTTAAACTTGGAAGTAATTAATGTTAGTGAGTACTAAGAAAACTGCTTTTGTTTTTTATCTTATCATTATAACGTTATCAATAATCTGGTATGGTTGTAAATGAATACATTTTATCAAATTTATTTAATACTTAAGTGATAATTTTTATATTATTAATTTTTTTTTTTTAAATATATTATATAAAGATATTTTTTTATAATAATTATTTAAACAATATTTTTTATCAAAATCGATTTTAATATAAATAGTTTAACTCTAACTAATGTACGATGGCCATATCGCTCTATAAATGCAACAGGACCATATGTCAAAATTATGATATTTAACGTATTTTTAAAATTCAATATAGTTTATTATGCTCAATCTAAATAATATTTAGCTTACGTATTATGCAAGCTACCAATACAAAAGTTAAATTGAATAATTCATGTTAACATTAATATTAATTATTAATATAAATGTTAAAAATGTAACATACAGTGTAACTCCTATGAAACTTAGAACTTTTGAATTCGTTTATCACGCTCCGCATTTTTTAAAGATATTTTTAAAATTATTTATTAGTTATATTATTTGATATGACAATTTTTTAAATTTTCATCAAATATAATTATATAGTTTGAAAGTAAATTAAATAATAATTATATTTTATTTACCTAAGTAGCAAAAAAATATTTTTTAATAGTTTTAAAAAAATGTTAAAAATGTCAATGAAATATTTAATAAAAATATATATATTAATGTTCTTGTGGCCATTTTTTCTTTCGACAAATAATATTTATTTCATATTTTTCCAATTTTACACCTTTCCCCCTTTGCTGGACATTTCTTAAATAAAACTATATATATACAGAGTGATAGATAAGTAAGGATACAGGTCAAACAATAAAAATCTTACTTACTGAACACTTATATATTTTAATGTAATAATTAATAATTATCAATTGTTATGTATATTTTAATAACATTAAAAAAAGTATTTATAGTTTCGTTTGTACGTTAAATATATTATATATTTTAAATTAAAACAATAAACATAGTCTCAGTAAATCCATCGTGTATTAATTGTTTTTAATTTGCAACATTAGTTGGTGCCTCACCTAAAAAATGTAGTTAAGAGATATTACTATAAAAAAAGTACGGATATTAGCAATAAAAAGTTTAAAAGTGTCTGTCTGCATATATAAAAACTATTTTTTCGCAAAACTTTAGTTTAATTTTATAAAACACTCATCAAATTTTCGATGTAAATATACATTTCGTTATTGAAACAATGTTATAATTAAGTTTTATAAAATTCCATTCATTTTGCATTTTAGCATTGATGTAAAACTGATAAGATATTTTATTTTTCATGATATTTTTTTTAATGGCTATCCATAAAAATTCTCAGTTTGATCGATATTGCGGATCAAAGTCATCAAAGAACCGGTATTAATCTAGTTTAAGATATTTTGTTTAAAATTGATAAAAAAAACTTAAGTATAATATTATATTAAAAAAAAAAAAGGTTTCTTTACAATTTTTTTTAAACATTTTTTAACGACTGCGTCCTTTAAAACTTTATAAAAATTAAATATTTTATCATCTTATTTTATAATTAAAAAATAAAAACATCTTGGCATTTCGGTTTTTATGAGATTTGCTGGTTAAAGTAAAGATTTGCTATTATTTAGTTAAATTTTCATAGTGATTTTTAACTTTGGATTTTTTATCAATTAAATAATAATTTATAATAATGAATTGAGTATATCTAATAATAAATTTTTCGTAATACCCAAAAATAAATAAATAAATGTTATTCTTTAATAATTTTTCTAGTTATTGCTAGTTAAGTCATTTTCATAGCTAACTCAAGACTCATTCAGTAGGAAATTATAATTAATAATAAGTATTTAAAAGGAATTGATAGACATAACAAATTATACATAATTTACCATGATTTTAGGTACGTTTATGATAAAATCTCTTTTTCCTGTGAAACGATTACCTTAAAATCGTCTTATTTTAGATAATTGAAAATTAAATTTATTTCGATATATAAATAGTTTTAAAATCGTATTTACACATTTTTTTTGTTTTAAAATCACTATTGATTATTTTTTTTTTTTAGGGAAACAAAATGTCCATAAATTTCAAGTTTCACAAAATTGAAAATAAAGAAGATATATTTAATAAGTTATTATTATTTGAAAATAAATCTAGAAAGATTAGAAATATTTATTTAATAAAGTGTAAAGATATAAAAAATAAATCTTTTCTAAAAAATTCCAAAGGAGAAGATCGTGTAATAATTGAGGCGACGGTAAATAAAATAAGAAACATTCAACGTTATATGAAAATAATGTCCTCTAATTTTTGTCATGTTATTCTTATTAACGCAAAGAACAAAAATGGCCAATATTTTAGCTCATTTGTAAATGATTTGAGTTCAAAAGATCAAATATTCTTCTTTAATGGTACCGTCAGTGCTCCTGTGAGTCTCAGGAGAACTATGCCAACAATTACATTTCGAAATGAATACCTAAGTTCTGTATATTTGTTTAAATATGATAGCCCTGATTGGATAAACAAAGTAACACCAACTCTAAAATGGTTAATGGAGCCCAATCTTTCAACTATCAATGGACCAGGAAAGTATTCGCTGTTTGGACATATCATATCAATTATGAAGTTCGCTGATGAAAATTTAATGTTGATACAATTGAAGAGTCATGATAAGTTGAAAGTTAATGTTCTTAAGTATCCTCATCGAATACCAGATTTTTGGAGAGTCCTAAAACAAGGTAGTGCTCTTAACGAAGATGACGTACATTTAAAAAAATACGAATGTGGTTCAAATCGTATAGATATTCTTGTCTTGAAACCTTGCTCTGAATTTCTTAAGCTTGAAAACAATGTTCGAGTACATTTAAAAAATATTAAATGTAAACAGTATTGTAATATAAACCATCAGCCTGTGTTCTTGTTACGCCTGAAAGGCAAAACAGAAAATATGCAAATTGTTCCTATTGAGACCGTAGCCGTCAAATCCCTTCGACCACCTGCATCAAAGCCATGTTTTAAAATACCTGATGACCTAAACCCGACTATTTCTAAAGCTAGTGGTAGTCAACAAAATAATAAATTAAATATCACTAAAGCATTCGTACGACGACTTCTAGAAGATTCGCCCCCACCTTCAAATTCAAATTATCCTTCTTCAAGTTCTTCTTCTTCATCGTCGAGCTCGTTTTTAAGTTATGGGTCTATTAATGAAGATAAACTTATGTCTCGGAATTCAATTCAACAAAGTGAAGAAAATTTAAATGTTTGTGTTGATTTAATAAATCAGTCGCCAATAATGATTTCAGATGACAGCGATGACACAGTTATATTAAATGATTCAGATTGTGCTTCGCCTTCTGTAATTAGAATTGCTGATATTTCGGTTGAAAGTATTAGTAGTGCCATAACAATAAGTTCTGATGATGATGAAGATAATAATGTAACCCCATTACTCAACAAAACTACTAATAAACGTACTAGAAATCAAATTTATATCAATGCTGAAATTATACCAACGTTTACAATAAACGATGATGACCTACATGACACACCACAACCAATAAGTAATCAAAATTACAAGTCCATAGGCCCATGTCGACTTGTTTTGGTGGATCCGTATGTGTTTGATGGAGAGACAACAGATATAGTATCGGGTTATTGCACAAAATGTAAATCTTTCAAAAAACTTTCATCGTTATTAATTTTAAGTAAAAACAATAAAGACAAGATTTATATGTGCTCTGATTGTGAAACATTATTATGTTTAACTTTTTATTTCAAGATGACTTTCTTGTTTGGTCAAAACGGAGATGAGGCAATAGAAGTACATTGTTATGATAACGGAGCTGAAATTGTATTGAAAAAAATTGTTTCAGATAGCATAACGGTTGAAAATTATTTATCTTCTATTTCCAAATACAATAAAGAAATAGCTTCAGCCTTTAAAAAAATTATTATTGATAAAACTAAGTTTGAGGTTCAAGTAAAATATTCTGAGGACGATAATACTGCATTGTTATTTTCTTTTGATTATTAAATATCCAAAGAAAGCTATATAACATTGTACCTAATTTAGTTTTTATTTATCTTTGTTTGTTTATCTTTATATTTGTTATTTTATATTAGTGACTGAATTCTTAGAAAAATAAAAAAAATCTATCTCATTTGAAGAAAATACATTAAATTACATTTGGTATTTTTTATTAATATAAATAAATTACGTGAACTTAAAATATTATGATTATTGTATTTAAGAATTTATGAAACATAAAGATAGTAAACTACAATATCATAATTATCACTGACGACTTTGTATATATCATATAAAAAATGTCGATGTTCGGATTATTGGAAAAATTAGATGGGAAAGATTAAGATATCAAATCTTCACATAGACCAAAAAAAAATAATTCATCAAAAAAATAATTTATTTTTTAGACAGTATAGGTAGAAAAATTTTCCTTCGACATACTATATGTTGAAGTTTGGGTTTGTATACATGTATCAAATGACAAAGTATACATCAAATTTTAAATAAACTACAAAAACGTTTAAAAAAAATTCTTGGAAAGAAAATAGTTATCATCTCAGGTTTATTTATAAATACTTATTTATTTCTCAAATGAAAAAAAAAACATGACACAATAACCATATTATTAAATTCTACAAATATTAATATTTTCTATAGATATTTTTTCTTTTCGATGTTAATTATAATAATTAAAAAAAAAATGTATGAACTCAAATTGTTTTAAAATATTAACAAAGATTGTCACTTGAAAAATGCGTTGGCTACTGCAAATTATTAACGATACTAATTTTATGCCACATAAAAATTATAACATAAAGCAATAGCAAAATTAAAATCATTTCCGCAAACCCTGATAATAATAATTATACCTTATGGCTTCATGTTTAAAGTTGTCTTATTCTTATCTCATTATTTGGCCCGAGTGTAGATGTAAACCAGCGCTGCTGTAAGCAAATGGACCGAGGCCGATCCTCCCCAGCTTGGCCCGGTGTTGGTTTGTGTAAAACACTCGCCTATTTATAGTTAGTAGAGCCTCGAAAGCCCGTTGTGTTTACTGCACACCGACCACTCCAATTTTAGTGCGCGCACATGCACTGGTCATGTCTTTTTTATCAAACTAGAAATTTGCATTATTATGTAGTTTAAACGAACTCGTACAAATTAAAAACATTTTGTAATTAAGTTACTGAAAATATCGAGTATTAAAAGTATGTTAACAATATTATATAAGCAAAACAAACATATTAATTATACAAAAATTCTATTTCAGTGTTTAATGAATGCAGTTTTCATTATAAATTTAATCTTTTCTATAAAAATTGTTTAATTATAACTGTAAAATCGTAAACTATAGTAGTATAAAATGAATAGGAATATCAGAAAAAAATCAAATTCTGCCTGTAAAAAATCTATTAAAAATGAGAATCCGGATGAAGAAATTAAAGTAAGTTTTAAATAAAAAATTTAACTATTAATCTATAAAATGTTCGTATTATATTAATTCTAAGATTACTTGAATATTTTACTATAATATTGATTTATAAAAATCCAATTTGTTTTTTTATATTATACAACAAATATTAAATTAAAATATTTATATATTTATAAATAGTAAATATCTTAAGTTTCATTCAAAATAAGGCAGATGATATTATCTATGGAGATAACATTTATAGTTCTTTTTTTCGAACAATATTTTCAGTAATAACATTCTTATTTTAATTAGTTCTTAAATTATATTATTCTAGTATGGTAATATTTTTATTTTCTAATGTCTACTTGCTTAAGATATTGCATTGAAAAATTGTATAATTCCTCATATTATATTATAAGTTTTATTGTTAATATATACTATCGTTTAACTTAATAAGTTAAGACATTTAATACCAGTGTATCAAAAAAATATATATATATATATAGGAGGGAAGTGGAAGGGAGATTTTGCATAGCATTAATACTCAGCAAGGTAAAGGTGTAATGACAAATAATATGCATAACAATATTATACATAAATATTATTGAAAGATTAAGTTATTATTATAACATCATCTTTAAAAATTAATTACTAATGTGGAGGCTTTAATAGAAATACACTGGCAACATGTAATATAAGTATTCAATAAAAATTTAATTTATGGAAAAGTAGCCATAACAATAACATTTATCAATGTTTTCATACTTTGTTGCACCAAAGATACAACAGAATGTTATTTGTATTACATTTTGTGGTCAAACGTACAAATTTATGGAAAAAAAAATTTTTCTATTAAATAATCAAACATTTAAATTTAGATTGATAACATTTTATATCACTATTGTTATAATTATTGACTTTATTAACAATAAATTAAACTATATTTGTAAAAATAAAATTATTGGAGTGCCGTGAAATTTTTAAAAAAACTGAAATAGGCCGCCAACTCAAAATAGTTATAGTTATTTAATCTAATTTAAGATTTTCATTTTTATTTAATAGAACTTAATTGGCACAATTCAACTAAACATGCTCGTGCAGCTTAAGATCAACGCCACAGTCAGTTGTGCTCATTTATCAGAGTTTTCATTGAAATTCCTATTAAAAAAGAAAATATGTAATCTCATATGAACAATACTTACTTTTTGTTGCTTATTTGTAAAACTTTGTTTAACTGAATTCAACTATAATCATGTAAATAATATTATGTAATATTTTTACATAATTGAAGTTAAAATATGTAAAAATAACCAACTAAACTGTAGGTTTATCTATGAAAATATTTTACAACCTTTTTAAACGTACACTGAGTTAAATAACGACTCGGCGTCGTCTAGAATTTGCCATTGTCTTACAGACATTTTAATGTGATCGACCCATTAAAAAAATGTGTGAATAAGTGATTAAATTATACTTAAAGATCTGTAACAGGAAGACAATTCAAGAAGGAAGGAAATTATTATTTTTAGACGATGTCTAAATATTTACTTGACTGACTTTATGTAGAAAGAGATCAAGAAATTTTATCACGTATTAATTTTCATTGACTTAGCGTTTTGTATGTCGACAAATGTCGTCAAGTCGTTAACTAACACGAATCAGCAAAAATGACTTCACGTACAATTTTTTTCCTCTAGGTTAATTATTCATTTAACTAAATTTTGTTTTCAAAGAATCTCTTTAACATCTATAAAAAGGCAGTGATTTGGCTACTTAGTGGCCACTGGGATGCCTTCCACAAGCAGATTCCGTCATTTTTTTTAGTATTTTAAGAAACAATTGAGTAATTCCTCGTATTATTATGTGTTATTATTCTAATATTTTATAAATCTTGTTTTTTTATATTCTGAGTGTACATTACACATAGTTATATTTATTGACCTTATTCATTTAAGTTTAATCAATATTTTAAAAATACGTTGAAAAAAAATGTCGAAATTTCCATATACTTGTATTGGAAACGTATACGATGTAAGAGAAACATTCATAAATAGTGATAAAAATGTTGTATTTTTGTACTAATTTTCGATACTTAATGTAAAAATTAAACTACTCGAGTGTAAAATTAACGTGTATACTAGAGATGTCATACAAACGAATGAGAATTTTCGGATAAGTTCCTACAGAGTAATAATCGTACGAACACTGATCAATAATTTTGCGAATGTCAAATTTAAATTCTTTATACCAATTGTGCATTTTTATAACGGTTGTTGGTTCTTAACCGACCAAATAACTGACTATAAAGATAGATGATTTTGAAAGCCGATTGGCCATCTCGACGATTGCGTACGCTGATCAAATTTCACACTCGCGCCTTAGTCCTCTGGGGGTTGTGGTCCGCAACATTCACACCTATAGTGTAGTTCTACAGTATTATAGGTGGGCGGAATAAATGTTAAAACCGACACTGCAAACTATACAAACCGTCACATAAATGCAATTCAGGCACAAAGTAGACAGTGTTAAGGAAGAAGAAGTATCAAAAGCATTGCGATGCTTTCATAGTTTCTACGTCTGCTGTTGAGCATCGACAATTCGTAGAACGATCATGAGTTATGGTTTCATCTAGCCGACTATAAAATTTGTGAAAATAGTGTATACTTCGCAGAATATTATGAGCAGCTTATTGCGGTTTTTAACGTGATGTATGAAGTACATTAAAAAAGATATATTATAACACTTGATTGGTATCTCATAATTTTGTGAATATATTTATAAAAAAATAGACTGCAGAGATTATATAATAACTGGATGTTAAGTTTTTGAGATGTTTATTGCATCGGTGAAGGAGTATCGCACACTATTTTACTGTGTAAAATCGCTGAGTGTATAACAAATACTTGATTGCGCGCGTCCTTCTCTCGGCTCTTCTTACCTTTACAGCGCGTTATCGTATCTTCAGGGTTTACAGTTACACATATGGTATTTCATTATTTCACCCGATATCCACATGACTATCGAACGTCGCGTCCTTTATGAGATACTCAATACCGCCAAAGTAACGGCAACTACTCGGAGAGAAAAATGAGAAATGCTTTTAATCAATCCATTGTGGATGACTTAGCGATAAATGACACAGCATCGAAATAAATATATTTCAACGGTATATTATCCACTTCCTTAAACCACATAAATAACAAGTTTATTAATCTTTTTTTTTATTAGTATGTAAACGCCTATTAAGAATATTATGTATCCGATTCTTTTTTTATCCTTAAAATCATTGTGCAAAACATAAGACCATTTAATTACGATTACTGTTGACTTTAAGCTGTGATTACAGCTATATTTCTTTTGAAATAGTTTACTTTTAAATTTTATTCTTATTTTACAGTGGTGTTTTAAAGGATATACGGCGTATACCTAGTTTTGACATTGAAAACTAACATGTACTACAAATTCGCAAGCATACCCTCTTATACCTTTAATCACAAAAAAATGATTACCGCTACTCCATTTGTATATTCAACATGTAATTTCTTTTTTTTTTTTTTGAACAATTTTTCTTTAAACTGTAGCAAGTAAATTAAAGAGATCATAACCGTCTTCGATTTGGTACTCGCGAATCTAATTGAACATATAGCCAATGTTTTTTTTTTTTATGAAAATATCACTGTTTTTATTGTGTTTATTACAATGATATCCTAACATCTTTTTGAATAATCACAAGAAACGTATATTGATATCTTGAGGTTAAATTTGAGAACAACTATGACGCAATTTATACTAGTTTAATAAGGAGAACAAAAAATATTCTAATGGATTGAAAATATACTATACGCATTTATTTAATTTTTCTTATTTTATAATGCAATGATTTTGGCATGCCTGAAATATATAGGAATGTTGCCAGCCCAATGTTAAACAAACATACAAGTCACTTATTATTGTTGGATAAATTGCTACACTCAGCTGTAATTTTCTTCTCTACGAAAAACGAACATCAACGTTAAATTATTAAATAGTGTATGATCGCCATATTAGCTTTTCGTTTTAAGCAATTGGATAAGTTAGAATTTTATTTTAATGTACCATAAATTCTATCGAACAAATTTTTTATACTCGTTAAATGATAATTATTATAGCGCTCGGCAGAGCACCAACCTATACTACTAAATCTATACTACTAGTGAATATTTACACGAAATAATTCGCCCAGTTTTTCTAACACCCGTAACTCTGTTACCTCTTAAAACAGGTTTTTTAAATTTTAAACATAGATTAGGCTTTTGCAGCTTAGAACATAGTAAATAATTTAACGCTTAATATTAAGTCATTTTAAAATGACTTAAATTAAAATGAATAGTGAAATTTTAAAGTTTTCATTTTTGCTACTGACTGATAGATTCATCATAAAAATTCTAAGACACTTACCGTCTTGATAGAAACGTTAATTTAACACACAGATAAATTTTGTAGTGTAAATTAAATAGAAAATTCTGAAAACTGTTTTTTTTATCTTAAAGTTCATGTAGGCAAGTGAGAGGAACAGGGCAGATGGTCGCCCGTTTTGAATTTTTAGTTGATCATGAACATTATGTATATTGCTGGTTTAAGCCAGTAAAAAAGAAGATATCTTCAACAAAAAATAACTTTAAAAAGGACCAAGTTCTAACTCCCTCTCACCTAACAATTTCCGCTTATTAAAGTACAAATAATTACATTGTGGTCAATTTTGCTTTTCTTTAGTTCATAAACTTCAACCCTACTTCCATGAACAGCATTGTTTATTTATTTATATTGCTTATTTAAAAAATGGTCAAGTATTAAGCAATTTTGATCATCGAAGTAGGATTAAAATTTGTGAGCTTAAGAAAGAACAAACATGGCAGCAGTGTAGAAACCGTCTCTTTGATAAGCAAACTTTTTTAGAAGAGAGGGGGTTAAAATTTAGCTCTTTTTCAAAGTTAAGTATTTGCTGAAGATCTTATGTACTCTTTATCACATAACGTGTTGAAAAAGATTTTAGCATGCTTTTTACAAGTACTAGTATAAACTTTTACATGACTATGGTCATTTAGTACCTGAGAAAAATTTATTTGTAGTAATAAGACAAGCTTATATTTAAAGGATGGTATTGAAAGACTTTAAAGATATTATATAGAAATAAAAAATTTAAATAATTCAATCTTTATAAACTGCATTAGCAACGTGGTCAGAAAATTGATAATAAAATTTAATTTACTTATAATTGTTTTTTTCCTTTAGGAGTACGTTAAAACTACTATGAACGAAATGCTTGGATGGTACGGCTATGATAAAATAAATTCTAAAGACTGCTCTTTACAAAGTGTTAATCTAGTCAAAATGAAAAAAATATATAGAAGTCGATCGGGGAGCACAGAACCAGATACATCGTCAGATGAATATGTCAGTCCACAATCTCCTAGCACGATATCGAGTAAGCTTTTAAATTAAATTAGTTATAAATGTTTTATACGTTGTTTAATGTAAATATCTACAGTACTATGTTGATGAAACTATTAACTGATAAGTTATAAAAATAATTAGTATAATTTTCCTGAAATGTGTCTTGCGGTAATGATGGTAACATTGTACCCTAAATAGGTATACACGTTTTTAAAAATTCTTTATTTCGAAACACTTTATTAACAATTAATATTTTTATTTTACAATTATTTTAAATAATTGTAAAATCTCGGTTAATTTTACCTATTCAAACGCAATAAACGTTGTTAAATATTCAAGTTGTATGATACATAATACACGAGTGTATTAAGGGATATTTTAGCAACACATATTTTTAAACTTAAAATATAATACGTATTGATTTGTTATGAAACCAAAATGTGTAAAATGATATTCGAATTTTATTTATATTTTGGTCTGATAATTTTTTTAGAAAGTGGTATTATTTACAAAAAAAAAATACTTAGCACGAAAACATAACAAATCAACTACCGAACATCATTCTATCATTTCAAGTTTAAACTAATAAAAAAAACAAAGCAGTTTCATTTTATGTTTTCTTATTATTTATTTAAATTTTTAAGCTTATTAGTTACTAATAGTAAATAAACAGTGGAACGGTGTGGCCCAGTCGGTACGCGGCAGTGCTTGACGCGCACTGTCTCGGGTTCGAAACTCGGTCACGGGCGGCTTCATTTGGCCAACGACGAGAGATCAGTTCGGTAATTGGAGTCGCCATCCCACTCTCAGGCGATGTTCTAACTACCCCTCCCGGAGAATGAATGGTTAAGAAAACCTTCTCCTGGGGGGAGGTCGCTATGGCCCTTAATGGGCTAATAAAAGCAATAAAAAAATAGTATATATACACATGTATAGTGAAATATTTTTTATAACCAAACATAAACATCATTTGAAAAGTAAAAGTAATAGTTCAAATAGTTTATACACATCTGAACTTATGATTAAACTGTTCAAATAGCATACATCTTAAATCTAAATAGTAGCGTTGGCTTAAAAAATCCACTCTTTTTTATTGTCAACAATCTTATCATTCATCATATCAAGAAAGTTGACTGGAATTTTAAGAAGATATACAGAGTGGCCCACCATATTTGAAAAATCTAATGACTTTTACCTACTAAATATTTAGCATTATTTTTTAAATTTTTATTATTAAACTTTAGGAATATGAAGTATAATCAGAAATAACTTTTGTTTGAAATATTTTTTAAAATTGTTTTTTTAAATTTAGTTTATGAAAAATGTTAAAAAAATATATTATCTCTTTGTGTAGATATTCAGAACAAATTCAATAAAATAATATCTTATCAATGTTTTGTAGTTAAATCTCTACAGCATTTTAAAGTAATTCAACTTCAACATTTTCACGTTTATTTTACAGTATTAAAAGTTGGTTTATTTATTTAAGAAAAAAAATAAAGAATAGAAGTTAAAATTATGGAATGTTCATGGGAAAAGTTACATATCTACAATACATGTATAACACAGAATCTATCCCAGATAGTAATTTAAAAACTAATGTTATAAAAATATTATTTTTAAAAAATGCAATCAGAAATTCTATAATATTAAGTAAAACTAGACTTTTACATTTTTCGCAAATTATTATTTTTTTAAATAAATAAAAAAAATATATTACTTTTGGTAATTTTTTCGAAGTCTTAAAGTATAATAATAATTTAAAAAAATAACTCGAAATATTCAGTAAATCAAAAGTTATTAGATTTATCAAAACATAGTAGACCACCTCGTAGTTATCTTCTTAAAAAGACACAATTTACAGCCTACGGATATCTATAGTTATAACCACACCTTTTTTACACTTGTAATTCAGCTTAATATCATAAACAATTCATGTTGACCCAGAATTGGGAATAGAAATTTACAAACTCTCGTTATACCTGTTTTATAAGTAAATTTTACTCACTTCCTGAAGATTTAAGTTTTATAAATTTTGAATTGATGAAAAGAAAAATATCTACCTAAAAATATTATTATAGTTGGGTCGATTTCAACTCAAGTCATATTCAAATCAAAGTAAAACATCTAATAGATAAGAACAGATTGTTTAAATAGCAGACTGCAGTTATCCGTCTCCGATCACATGTGGTCAGCTATTTTTGTCATCGACTGAAAATATCCTTGTTTGCCGGTAGGGTGTAGTGATAATAATAACAGAAGCGTATAAGACGAACCGACAACGCGCACAGTATACTGCGTCCGCCTGTAGTCCCTTCTTTGATCTACTGTGCTCTATGATTTAGGACTGCTGTTCTGAAACCGTAACATAATATTGTTGGACAGTGCTGCGTACTTTAACGTCACAGTAGCAAAGTATAATAAGTGGAAATACAACACCACCCGCCATGCACAGCAACGGGGAGGTTGACGAAAAATCTTGAAATAAAGTTTCGACTTACGTTGTTTAGTATTCTATTTAAAAATTAATAAAAACTAACTAATATACTTGATATGGAACTTTAAAACGATGTAAGTAACAGAATAATATTGGTTTGGTTAATTTCAATAGAAAACAAATTATAGTTAACCAGTAAATGTTAAGGTATAGCATTCTTTGTTGTGGTCACGAAATTAAATATTTAAAGTAGAATTGATTTAGCATTTAATTCTAAATGTTTAATTGAGGTAAATTTTTGTTTTAAGGTTCTCCGACCGAACAAATGCTGTGTGGGTGGTGCGACAAAACAATAGCTTCAAAAGCTTTTACATTCTGCACGAATGAGCCTAATAATGAAAAAGTATTCTGTTCCGAACAATGTTTTTCGCAATACCGACGGGCGAACTTCAAACGAAATAAGACATGTGATTGGTGTAGACATCTAAGGCATACAGTGAATTGTGTAGACTTCCAAGACGGCGACCATCAGCTCCAATTCTGCAGGTGACAAACGTAAAGAGTTTTTGATTTGCTCTCGTTCGCTATTTAAAGTTCAAAAATTAATAGTCTTGTTTTTATATTTTTCAGTGACAAATGTCTGAATCAATATAAAATGAATATTTTTTGCAAGGAAACCCAAGCACAGTTAGAATTACATCCACACCTGCAAAATACCTCAATGCCTGAAAATTTATGCAAGTCGTTAGAACCTAGTTTACCACTTATTACACCTGACCTGTGGCTAAGAGACTGTCATTCACCACCCAACCAATCACAGTCGCCGCAAAGTTCTTATTCTCCTCTTACGCCAGTAGTAACTACTCAATTGCGTGTCTCCAATAAGTTGTTTGACCGTCCCACTCGTAAGCGCAAACGACAAACGCCAATTGAAGAAGTAACGCCGCCACCTGTGTACTCGCATTGTCAAAATCATGCTCCATTATACTACTCATCTCCTATGTGCCAACCTCCAGCATTTTCCCAATCGCATCCAATAGGAAACAACTCAACCAATACGTCAAATAATGAACAACCACCATCACAACCTCCTCCGACAATTTACCCATTGACAATGCAACCATCAATATTACCACCTCCAATGATTCTAGTACCATATCCAATTATGCTACCAATTCCAATACCGATACCAATACCTATACCATTACCATTTCTCCAAAAAGAAACTGAAAACACCAACAATGATGTTAAAGACGAAAATAAATCATAAATATGTTTAAAAAATACGTAGTATATTTTACGCTATTAAAGTAACCAAAAACAGCAAAATAAAGGGGGAAAGGTTCAATGCCTACAGAGCATAATTTCTATAGATTTAAATACACTGAATTAAAAAAAAAAAAATCATTATTAAAAAGTATTCATTAAATTCTATAACATGCTACGTGCTTAGGCAAAATATATAGAAACTCAAATGAATTATAGATCAGAACATAGAAAAAGAAAGTTCAAAGATAACTCATATATATATATTTATTATTAAAAATGTCAACAGTCTTCATTGATTAACAGAGAAAATATGTACAAATTTACATTATTAGTATAATATATGAATTCGTTATATGATAAATTAATTTTTTAACATCCCCTTCATTTCCATCACCTGAAATATTTGACTTTTCAAATATCTATTTAATTTTAGTATAACTAAAGTAGTAAAATAATTTAAATTCAAAAAATTAAATACAAATATATCATAACTCGTACAAAGATTTACTTCTTTTAATTATTATCCGTACACAAGATTTAGATCCTGGTCGACTTAAAATTATTGTAATATATATTATCTAAAATTAATTGGAATGCATATTAATAAAAAAAGTATGTAAAATCAAACTATTATAACAATAATGAATCAAATCAAATTTACATAAATTTTCTGCTTTATATTATGTTAAATGAAAAAAATTGTCACCAATTATCTACTACAAATATCAATACATATTCCAAGATATGAAATGTCCAAAATAAATTAGCTATTAGCAACAAAACATTTGGAAAGTTTATTGGGGTGCTTTAAAAATCACACAAAATTAAAAAATCCTCTAGTGTGCAATATAAGCACCTACTGTTCACATTGTATGTTTTTTTATTGCCCGGCAAATATTAAAGATTTTACTGAGTACAATTAAAATATATATATATAATTAATGAACTAAATTTAATATTATAAAAATGAATATTGGATCATGTGTGGTGGCCTAGTTAGCGTTTATACAATTCTCTATAGTCAGTAACATAACTTAAGTGTTATTCTGGAAAAGATGATACATACAAGAAAATTTTTACTACTTCCTTTATATGAAAAAAAGACATCTTCGCTATATAATTTCTTTCCTATAATGAAATATTAACTCTAGTCTCCTGTGATTACGTTGCTGTACAATTATTACATTTGAATATTATTTGTACCTGAGTACATATACCAAAGATAATAAAAAGATAAAATATATTAAAAATAAATCTAATTAAAAAACTTCTACTAATCATGGATATAAAAATTGTAAAAATATTAACATTGTATGAAAAAATAAGCAAACATAAAAAGAAAGTGATTTTTTCTTTTAATACAGAATAACTATTACAAACCTAATTTTTTAAAGCAAGACTTTTCTTTAAATCATCGCTAGGGCTAGAAATAATATAAATAAAATTTTGCCAATACAAATTTTCATTATTTGACTTGAAAACGAATGCATTGTAACCGAGGTTATAGTTTTGGAGAGTTTATCCACCTTAATAGTAAACATTTTTTTACACTATTATATAATTCAATAACAATGTTGCAAAAACTTGGATGCCTTCCAAACGACTCAAATAAATTTATAAATTTTATAATTTCTATTCCTACTCGTGGCTTACTCAAATACACTCTAGCTTAAATAATAGACACTTACAGGTATTTTCAAAGTGTCCTTAAAAAATTAACAAATTTTTAATACAGAGTATAAAAACTTGATATAATTAGCATAGCAATGATCACATATATAACAATTAAGTCTTCCACACTTGATTTAAAATATAAACTATATTAATTTGATATATATATCAAATATTGAAAATAATAAAATTTTAAGTTACCAAAATTATTAAACTGAAATTTTTATTTTTATAAGTTAAACTATATTTATTACGTACCAATAGTTTTTAACTAATTAAAATAAAACTTATATAGGGAAACAAAACTAGTCTTCAAAAATGTTATGCTTCGCATTTCATCGTGTTATATTAAAGGTTCTAAAAATTGATCTTTATTTTCTTTTAAATAAATCTCTTTGAGTAAATTTATGAGAAAATTACATATTTTACTCGTTTATTTATGACGCACCAAATACAAAAATCAAAACAATTTACCGACTGATTATATGCTTCATTATAATTTACCATCGAAAATTACTATCAAAAAACTATCAGTTTTAAACGTTATAAATAACAAGAAAAAAATCTTTCTATTAAAATGCAATATCTGAATTTACAACTCTCATTCAAATTTATTAAACAGTATTAAATAACATTTTCACATTAATTCATATTGATATACTGAGAACGTATTGTCTCTTTTCTACTTGAATTTATTATACCATGGTTACCTCAAATGTCTAACCAGCTAACATACAGCCATAACCACTGCACAGAATAATTTTAAGTCCGAGCAATCATAGAAGCGAGTTGTATGCTATCAGAAGACGTGTTTATATTCTATCATATTGTTGTTATTTCAATGGCCGTTGGATAGATTAGTAACAGTAATCAACCGACAGTCGATCGTGATATAGTATAAAAGAAATCTAGCCCATAGCTGAAAAAACCGTCAGCCAAGATACAAAAAACTTTCGACATGGTTCTTCAGAAGTAAGTTCGATTAAAATCATTATTTTGTATTTGTTTATATCGTCACAATATCACTAATTATTCTACTTGTCGTTTATGAATTGTGTTGAAACTCAAAAATGACAAATCGAACAAATAGAGCTATAGATTATTACAATGATTATATTGATTGTACACAAAATTTACCTTTGGATGTGCAACGCCATGTGACTCATATGCGTGAATGCGATTTAGAGTACCAAGAAATGTTATCTAAGATACATGAACTTACCCGAAATTTTGATGGAACAGCATCATCATTAAATCCTGGAAAATTAACTAAATTATTAGTTACTGGCCTAAATTTAGGAGACAAGAAAGTTCAAACAGTCCAACAAATATCTGATTTAGTTGATGATAAAGTAAGGCGTTTAGAAATAGGTAGGAAGTTTTTAACCTCGGTGAAAGAGTCTGATGCTCCTAAATTAAATTTAAAAGAAAAATCCGACAGTGGAAGTTGTTCAAAAGAACGTAATATACCAAATGCTACTTCAACTTCTGTTACCAAAGAATTAAAAAAACGCAATACTGATAATGATAGTAATGAATCTAATAATGAAGTAAAAATTACTAAACGGCCGCGCCGAAATAGAACAGATGAACCTGATTACAAAGAAATTCCTGATGATATAGTTGCTCTATCAGTGTTGCAGCATACTCACACACCATTACCAAGAGCTACTGCAACTGCACAAATTCAATCTCAAGTATCACTGAAAAAATCTAATCAAAAAACTGATACTAAAACTAAAAAGAAAGGGAAGTATAAAAAGCAACAAAAAGACAATTCACCTTCATTAGATGATGATGATGATATTGCTGTTGATCCAGATGAACCAACTTATTGTTTATGTGATCAAATATCTTATGGAGAAATGATATGTTGTGACAATGATTTATGCCCTATTGAATGGTTTCATTTCTCATGTGTCTCACTTTCAACTAAACCTAAAGGAAAATGGTTTTGCCCTAAGTGTCGAGGTGATAGACCTAATGTAATGAAACCTAAAGCTCAATTTCTTAAGGAATTAGAGAGATATAACAAGGAAAAAGAAGATAAAGCCTAAAATTTTGTTGAATATTCTAACAATCTACTTAATTAAGGTCTCATTTGTTTGTAAAAATTACATGTATATAAATTTGCCTATATGTTATATATAAAAAATACGTATCTTTGAATATTTACTTAACAAAAGTATTTATACCAATGCATGCAATTTTTTTTACTTTTATTTAGACAATTTTTATCTTTTTTTTAATATACATTAATGTAATTTTATATATGTATTTTTTTCTATGATTATTATTATTTTAATTATTATTTCTTGATGTGAATTAATATTTCTGAAAATATTTTAACTATAAAATTATATTACTGTTCTTAAATATATATATTATTACGTATTAATTTATCAATTATAATTTAATATACATGTATATATACATACACATACACATATATGTGTATTGTAAAAAAAAAAATAACAGTATTTTAGTATTTTTACACCAAACTGTTTGTAGACCATTAATTAATATTCTATCATTATTGTTATTGTTATTGTTGTTGTTGTTGTTTGTTAAGATTTTGTTTAATGATATATAGCAATATTTTTCTTTTAAACTCTTCTTCTTGTTAGAATGGAATGCAGTGACGTCTCAGATTATGTTGAGCTTGGCCAATTGGCTGGTGTCAGAATTGTACCAAATGTTGTGAAGTATGTTAAAATATTAGTATGGTAGATGTGACATGGAAAAATCATCAATCTTAATCTTAATTTAAAAAATAGCATGGTTCTTATCTAGTTTTGAAAATACTTATTTTTTATTTTATTATTCAAAAATGAATTTCCTTTAAAAATAATAAAGATTGTTGATTTTCTCAAACAACACATCAATTTTTGTTCAAAATTTGTAATCAAAGTTTTTATTTAATTTTCAGTGCAATGCTAGAACTGTTAAATCTAGGATATTCTCCATCATCTATCAGAAAAGTTTGTCGTGAAATTGCTAAGTATAAAAGTCGACATGAAAGATCTGGAGTTCACAGTTCCAATTCCAAATGAAATTACAATTTTTATATAAATATATGTATTTAATTTTCTTTTATGTATTTAATAATCTTTTTTGACTATGTATTATAATTAAATACAATCTACTTGTGAATAATCTATTATTTTCATCAAGATTTAAAACCAATTTTTTTTTTAAATTAGTTTTCTCCTCATTATGAGTCAGATAATTATTAATTTCTATTATGATGACAAGAATTAAAGTAATTTAAATTGTTGCTCATAATTATGTTTAATACATAGATGCGGTAATTTGTATGCTAGTTTCTATATAAAGGGTTTCTTGCAACAAGATAGTTCTGTTAATAAAGTATTTGTAAATATTGAGTAAAAATAGTTTTAATTTAATAACAGAAAAATTTATTTGCAAGTAATAGTTGTCAAGTAATTTAACTAATAAAACTACACATCGTCGGTATAGGATTAGTGAAATATAAAATAAGGAAAACAAAAAAAAATTTTATTTACACTGAACTATCCAATTTTTTGTTATAGAATCGAGTATTAAAATAATATAAATTTATTTAAAGTACTATTTATGTTATAAACTTAAAAAATAATGAGATTAAATTATTTGCTTAAATAGAATTTTTTATTTTGGTTGACATGTTCCATTACTCCTAAAGCGTCATTTTTTTTTTTTAATTCTAACATTTGAAAGTATAGAGCTGTCTTCTTTTTTAAGTAAAACCTTCAATTAATATATAGTAAGTTAGTATGATAGTTCAGTGATTATATGTTTAATGTTGACTAATATATATTTTTATATAGTCTGTGTTTATATTATTACTTGAAATCAGTTTTAAGTTTAAAATTTCTTTGTAAAAATATTTAATTTTACTTAGTTTAAGACGAATCTTGGTAGAAAAATTAAAAAATTCATAACCATTCCATGATATTTCTTAGCCTAACACTAAAAAAATTCTCATTTCGCAATTGACACCATAAATCCTAAAATTCTACAAAAAAAAAAAACGTGGAAAATTTTAAAATTTGACTCATGATAAATAATTATTGAAATCATTATGTGTGCAATTTTATGGGGATTGTTAAGTGCTTTCGATAGTTCTTATAGCTCCCATCTTCAAAACAAAAATATTAAAAAATGATTTTATAATTTTTTTTTTCATAAAGGGGATACCAAATTTAACCCACAAAAATTGTCTAAATTAATATAATATTATTCATCAATTTTAAGATATTGATTAAAATTGTATTTAAGTCACTTTACAGGCTTGTCTCCAGATTTAACTTGCTTTACAAATGCGTGCTGGTGCATTACAATTATTAAAAATATATTTTAATTTTATAAAAACTTATTTGATTTATATTACAGATGGCTCTGTAGTAATAAAAGTTTGTGATATGTTGACGGTACATGATAATATAATCATGTTTTTATTTAAAAATAAGTCGGTTTTGTTTATTCGATGGTTTCTTAATAATGGTTATTGAATACTAAAGTGTATGAAAAGAGTTCTTTTTTATGTTTTAAAAAATTGGAAATTTATTTATATAACATTTATTCTATTCTAAAATCATTAATAATTTTGTATTAAAAGTAATTTAAAATGAGAGGTGACGTTAAGCCAGAATCATGTATCAAGAGTAGAGATAACTTGTACAGACTTATAATTAGGTAAAATTAATTTTATTGATCTAAATTTATAAATATTTAAACATATTTTTTTTATAGTCAGTTATTTTATGATGGTCATTCAACAGTTGCTTCAAGTTTAGCAGCATTAGTTAATGCTGATCCTCCTTGTTCACCATCAGACAGGTTAATGAGTGTAGTAGCTAAAGGTCTGCAGCATGAAACTGACAGGCAAAAAGAGTCTGAAGAAGTATTTCATTTAAATCCTATTCAACAAATGTTAATTGGTCCAGGAATTGGTAAGTTTATTTGTTTGATTGAAGTTATTTTTTCCTTTATTGATAATATTAAAAATTAACAGTCAAAAAAAAATTTCACTATGTATAAAATTTTATGATTAGTAAAAATTTATTATCTCGGATTGACTGTGTTACAATAGAATATTAAAAAATACAAATTTACAAATACTCTAGTTTTAGTTATAGAGGTGGGTGAGAACTGTCCATGCACTCAACAATATAGTTCCATTGTGTGCACCTTCTACTAAATTATATTAATTCGGTTTCTTTACATAAATTTATACACAAAAGTGTTGTTGCCATTGTTGAATACCTAAGACTATATTTAAGATGTCATACTAAGTCGCACCTTAATATATTTTCAAATAGTCCTGTCACTAGCAAAATTAAATATCTCTTTGGATTTTATATTTTTAATATCTTCTTTTCTGTAAAAATATTTTCCCAAATGTTTATATCTTAATGTGGCCAAGATGAAACATTTACCCTCAATGTGGAATGAATCTTCCTAGGCTGTTTCAAACTTCCTACACAGTAGTGATTCTGTCTTTCCTGTGTAAAAATGTTTAAGCAGATGACCAAGTCCTGTCAATAGTCGAGTTATAGTGCTTATTTGATATCTAGTCATATTATTAACATTTCTCAGTAGTAGAATGGGAATCTTGATAAAAATTCTTGATTTTCTGGGTAACACAATACAATTTCCTGTGTTGTTTTCTACAACAGTTTTCGGCTAGTACTTTAAAGGATTGCTCTACGAGTCCCACCACTGGTTTTGGTCCATCACGGGTGTTTTCCTTTACTCATTAAAAATGTAGTGCAAATTGTAAATATAAGATGCTCTTCTTATAGTAAGAGAAACTTTTTTATATAAATATCGTAAGAACCTCCCCAACGTCATGACTTTAAAACTGGTTTTTCATAATTTCTTATAAATGACCATTTACTAAATAATGAAATTATAAGTAAAAAACACATTACTAAATTAATATATACAATGTTTTTTCTATCGTATTTAATAATCTATGATGTTTATAATATTTGATGTTGTTGGTTCTAATTAATTTAAAGAATTAATATAATCATCAGAATTTATAATTAGTCTATTTTTTGAGTTTCATGATATATTAATTTATAATAGTTATAATTAGATCATGATTGTAAGTAAAACTAACAAACAGCCCTTTTATTCTAAATTCCAATATTTTTATTATAATAGCATTAATTAATATCTACTTTTGTTATTTCAAATAAAATTTATTCATATTCTGTTTAAATTAACTGTATGTTTTCATAGTAATATCATTTATAATAACAGTACATTTTTGTACACATTTTATATTTATTAATATTTTATTATCTATATTTTCTTTTCTTAGATTTAGAATTTGAAACAAATGTTAGCTGCTCTGCTCCTGAACCTGCATTGTACGAAACTGTTTATGTTACTTCACACAAAGGAGCATGTAGGGCTGGAGCATTTAGTCCAGATGGACAATTAATTGCTACTGGTAGCAATGATGCTTCAATAAAAGTAAATATTATTATTTTACCTATTTCAAATTAGAGTATTTTATCAAGAAGAATTTTTAGTAATTAGTGTAAATTGTCAGTTTTCAAATGAAAATAAACTACTATTTTATATATAGTAATAAATTAAATAAATCCTAAATATAAAAGTTTTAATCAAAATAATCTCACTTTTTATAAATCTATGAAAACAGGCTTTAAATTTACTAAAAATATTCTTTTAGTTTTTATGTGTTCAAAATATGATTAATTTTTTTTTTTTAATGTAGATTTTAGATGTAGAAAGAATGTTAGCAAAAGCTCATGACATTGGTAGTACTGATAATCAAGAAGGACAAGGACATCCTGTAATTCGTACATTGTATGATCATTTAGAAGAGGTTACTTGCCTAGAATTTCATCCCAATAAACCAATTTTAGCTTCAGGAAGTAAAGATTGTCATGTTAAACTATTTGACTATTCAAAAACATCTGTGAAAAAAGCATTTAAAACTATAAATGTAAGAAGATTTTTAATTATTTATCTTCAAATATCAATAAACTTATATTATGTATTAAAAAAATATTATTTTTGTAGGATGTTGAACCAATCACTTGTTTAAGCTTTCATCCTCAAGGCGATTTTTTAGTTATGGGTACAAATAGCCCAGTTATAAGATTATACGATATAAACACTGTTCAATGCTATGTATGCTCACTCCCAAGTCATCAGCATACAGGACCTCTTACATCTATTAAGTATATTGAAATGTAACTATATTAAGTGAACTAGCTATTTAATGGTAATTATTAATTATCAGATATGAACCAAGTGCTAGATACTTTGTATCTGCTAGCAGAGATGGCTCAATAAAATTATGGGATGCAGTATCAAATAAATGTGTGAATACTTTTGAAAAGGCTCATGACGGAAGTCAAGTTTGTTCTGTTACATTTTCAAGAAATGGAAAAGTAATATAAAATATTATTTCTTAGTTCATTTTTTTTTTTTAATTTATTCTTTTTACTGGATCTCAAAAATATTTGTTATAATTTAAGTTTGTTATATAAATTTATCACTTTTTATTTTTACTAGTATATTTTATCATCAGGAAAAGATTCTTTAGTAAAGCTTTGGGAACTTTCAACGAGTAGATGTTTAATTGCTTATACTGGTGCTGGAACAACAGGTATCAAACCATAAATTTTTTTTATCATATTCTATTAGTGTTCTTTTTAAGGTAAACAAGAACATCGAACACAAGCCTTATTTAATCACACTGAAGAATATGTCATGTTTCCCGATGAAGCTACCACATCATTGTGTGCATGGAATGCTCGTAATGCATCTCGTCAGCAACTACTATCACTTGGTAGATATTCAACTTTTTCATTAAACTTATTTAAACTTAGCAAATTTAATTTAATTTATATATTCAAGGTCATAATGGTCCAATTAGAGCTATAGTACACTCACCTAATTCAGCAGCATTTTTAACTTGTTCAGATGACTTCAGAGCTCGTTTTTGGTACAGAAAACATTTACTTGGAGCATAAATATAATGTCAAATCTCACATAATATAAAAAACCTATAAGCTTTATCATCTTGAAAACTACCTTATAAATTTAGCTGTATGAGTTAATGTAATTAATTATTAATTGAAATAATTTTATTATTTTCTGTTTTATATTTGCTGAATAAAATTCTAAAATTTTTTATTGTTTTTGTATGTTGTTATATTCATAAATGTTTGTAATAACATTTTATGTTCAATATCATCAGTGTCTTAATTGCGAAATTAAATTAAAGATACATTAGTATAATTTATTATACTACATTAAAACATAGATGTAAATACATTAAAGTGCATATCGCTATACTTTTTATACAATCATTCTATTTTTAAGTTGACAAGAAATATACCATCAAATTAATAACTTTAAATGAATTTATCAGTTAAATCCATTAACTAATGATACATTAGGTTAAAATATGAAAATATTTCAAAATTATATAACTAAGGCCTCTGTAAAGATATCCATATTACATTTCAATATTTAATATTTTATAGCAAATGTCAATTTTTATTATTAAAGTTTATAAATAAAACCTAGATAACTCCTAAATTATAACATTATATTAAATTAGTTATCAATAACTATTATACATAATAAACATTTTTTAGCTTCATTGCAAAATTAGAAAAGTATTAATTTTTTCATGTTGGTAAAGTGAACCCTAAAAAGCGATCAATAATATTATCGTATAAGGGCTGTATTGAAGAATTGATCAATGTATCAAATAAATTAAAAGTTTTTGTTGATGTACTGTTAATAATATTGTGCGGGCCTGATAACTTGATAATGATATATTAATCAATAATATTGATTTGTTAGTAGTTAGCTCAGGGGCATAATTTGGGGAGGGTCAAGGTGTGCAACCGCATCCCTTACTTTAAAAACAGTCCTAATTGGCCTGCATTAATAATGCACCAATTTTTTGAAATCGACCTTCGGAATGTAAGCCTCTTTGGGCCGTTATCATAAGTAGGACACTGGTTCCGGTAGGGGTACCAGGCTACGCCGGGCACGATAAGTGTTTTGCAGAAAAAATATTACATCAGAATCAATATAACAAAAATATATTAAAAATGTTTTTATTAAAATCATGAAAATTCAAAAAGAGAATATAGTAAAATGTATTGAGTATAAGGTTGACGTTTGTTAATGAGGTATTCCCTTTAGGCTTATTCAAAAATTATTTTAGGAGGGTATTTAATATTTTTTACTTTGTTAAACATGTTTAAACATGAATTTTTTTTGCTAAAAATCAAAGTAATGATGAAAAAAAAGGACATTAGGTCCTTATTTATTAGAAGTTGCCTAAAAAAATATTGATAGCGCTGGTTCAAGGGGGGCCTTATCTCCCTTAAATACACCCCTGGTATACACAAAAATTATTAATATTCCAATTATAATAATTGTGTTTATATTATAGAATAATTACAAAAAAATTTAGCAGGTTATTATATGTGAGACTGTAAAAAATCTAATTTTGATAAAAATATTGGTAACTGCGATTTAACGTTGGACAGCATAATTGTCATAGATGAATTCAAATTTAAACGATAAACTAATAGACTCATATATCATTTATGAGAAAAAAAAGATTATTAATAATGTACTGTTCTGATAAACATAAACTGATAAAGTAGAAACTTATATAATCATAACCGTTATAAAATTTATATGTAACATATAATATTTCTCGATAAAATATAGTGCTATGTGCAAATACAAATTAATGTCCTAATAAAAATACATATTACACCATATAATTAAGGTTCAGAATAAACGTATGAGCAGAAATGAGTCAATGCGCGTGGATTATAAAAAAAAAAAAATTTTATCATATCTCAGGAATGTCATTGGGCGGGTCTGGTGACAATTTCAAACCTAAAGTCGTAAAACGCTGGCGTCAGGGAGCGTTTTTCTCGAAAACGGTCGAAATTTTAAAACGCTCGCGGTCGAGCGGCAAAAATTTTCCGACCTTCGCCAATAATTTTCCCGGAGTCTGATGACCGAGTTCTTTCGTTGAAAAAAAAAAAGTTTGAAAATCCGAGCACGCTAAGTAATGTTCCCAGAAAAGCGTTTTTTTCTTTGTTCTATTATATAATAAGATATAGAAGGGTGTTCAGTAAGTAAGGAAATGAGTCTCTATTCTTATTATTCTTATTATTTGTAATAATGTACCTGTTTCCTTACTTACTGAACACTCTGTATAATGATAAAATTTTGTAACAAAAAAAAACTTATTTCTTCATAATAAAAAGTAATTTGAAAATATTTGATTATCGTTAAGAGATATAGCTATTATCTATATATTTTTTATATTAATATAATTATCTGATTTGGTTGGTATACCATAGTCTGATTTTACAACAATGGTAACATAACGATATTCATGAAAATAAAAAAAAATACAAAACCCAGAATTTTAATACAAAAATAGCACAATAGAAGAAAATCTATATTTCGATTTTTTTATTCATAGTAAAGTATATAATATGAGATTTTATTTAAGATTATATAAAAGTCTTAATATTTCAGGAAAATTTTCAAAAGTTAAGTTGAAAAAATTAGTTTTTGTAAAAAAGTTGCCATTTTAAATCCCCCCTGTGAGCAGAATAAGTGTTAGATTTTCAAAAAAAAATTATATCAAATGAAAGCAAATCGCATAAGGTTACAATATAAAAAAATATTAATTTGATTTGTTAATATTTGAAAAAGTTATAGCAGTTTGAAGTACAAAAAATATCCTAATAGAAGGTGATTTTTATCGCAAACATTACATTTTTTTTTAAATTTCGATAGCCGTTTACATGCAGAAGATAAAGTGTCGGGACAAATTTTTTTTTTCATTTTATAGTACATAAAATAAGCTTTAATTTGATATATGTTTAAAGGACGCAGTATTTCCGGAACATTTTCAAAAATTAAGTTGAAAAAGTTAGTTTTTGTAAAAACTAACTTTTGTAAAGTTGCTATTTTAAATCCCCCCAATGAGAAGGTTAAGTGTTAGATTTTCAAAAAAATGATATCAAATGAAAGGGAAATATCTAAGGTTTTCTTATAAAAAAAAATTATGTTGATTTGTTTATTTTTGAATAAGTTATGGAAGTTTTAAGAAAAAAAAGTGAAAAAAATGACAAAATTTACCGATTTTTAAATTTATAATTTTTTTGGATATTTCCCCTATTTGCGAGGAACAAAAGAAAAATTTAAGGGTAATGTGTTCAACTAGATACGATTTGTGATCTTGTGACGTATTGTTGAAAGAAATCGGTCCAGTGAGAGCTGAGAAAAAGTCGTAACAGACATAAAAAAAAAAAAAAACACATCATGGTAAAATTAATACCTTCTCAGCTTCGCATCGAAGCTAAAAGAAAGAAAAGAATGACGGTGGGTTGAAAGGTAGTGGTTGACGAAAAGGATTAATGAAGAATGGTTGGTCTTGTAATATAAAAGAAAGAAGAGTTGGTTGAGAGTAATAATGAAAAGTATGAGCGGTGGTGGTTTGGTATAAAGAAAGTTAGAGTGGCTAGAGGTATTGGGCAGTAACATTAGAAGAATGAAATAGAAAGGGATCTCGGGGTATGTATGCCTATATAATCACGTCTGGTATATATCTTTCTTCTATATCGACGAAATATTATCATTTAGACTGCCCAAAATGTACACACAAATTTGCGTGAGTCACGAATATCGTATTTCTTTATACAATAATTGTATAAATTGTCGAAAACAAATTAAGTAGAATAATTATTATTCTACTTAATTTGTTTTCGACAACCTACGTCACTCTATATGTTTATTACAAAATATCCTTCGATGAAGGTATAATTATAAATTTATTATGTAAATAAATGTTTTCACTTACCTCCGATTGTCCTGATAAGACGAATATTATGTTGTGATGAATCATGTATTTGATGTCACTGTTATCAATATATATGTACGTGCGTCTGTATACGCACTTGAAATTATTCGGCTTTTATTAATATATAAACTCACGTGTATCTATTAATTTCTCTAGTACAACTCTATATTAAATCTACTCAAGATAAAAATTCAATTTATTCTTTTGGTATATTATGTAAACCCTTTTTGTATATTTATGTGGTGTGCTTTTTGGCCTTGTACGTAATAAATTATACTAACGCGTTTATAATTTAATAATTTGTAAAACCAATAAATAATAATATTATCTTGTCAAGAATACTATTTTCTAGTAGTCTACGTCTTTTCAGTCATTTTTAGAGTGATCTAGGGTAGATGCGAGCTCAATTTCAGTTTACAATTGATTCCCTTTTAAAAAAAACGGCTAAGATCAGACTGGCTAGTCGAAAAGTGGAGAGACACTTTACCAAATACTTATAGTCAATTTAAACTTTGATTACCATATTATAATGATAGAGCTTTAGCCAAGTTATGGCGCTTCAATTAGTAATAGAACACAATGCAATCTAATTATATATTTTTTGTAGTGTGTACATAAAAAAGTAAATAAAGCAAATACCAATAATTTTTGTGTGTTGGAATATTTGTATCACCAAAAGTGTTCAACCGAAAATAAGATGAATATTTATCTTAAGTCCCTACAACGATAAGAAATGGAATGTAAAAACGGTGTGAATTAGATATAAAATTGTAACCAAGAGCGAATTATATACTCACGCAGATTCCATGTATGTGTATTGACCGAGAATTCTCCAGAGAGAAGGAGAGCGTAGAGAGAGATTTTTTGGGATAAAATGGCATTTTTATAGCCCGCCGAACTGGTTTAGCGATCTCTAGTGAGATTATTGGGATATACACTTCGATGTAAAGTTGAGAAGATATTTTTTTACAATGATGTGTTTTTTTTCTTTTTTATGTCTGTTGCCACTTTTTGTTGTGTTTCGGAAATACTGACACTTTTATATATATCTTAAATTAAAGCTAATGTAATATACTTTATTATGAAAAAATTTTTTTTTTTTTAAAAATGGAAATAAGATAAAATTAACAAAGAAATTAATATTTAACATTAGGTTTCTTTTTCTATTTTTTGATGAAACAGACTTTATTATAACGCAAGGGGTATTATTCACAAGTCTATATATTTTAATACTATTTTTATGTTTATAGTATATCATACAATTTTAGTTAAATACATATTCTTTTGATTTCCTGGGCATTTAAATGTCAATCATTTCTCGACAAAGGGATTTCCCTTTTGTGGACATTTTTTTTTTTTTGGTCACGGCAGTATTTTATAAATAATAAAAAATAATAAAATTTACCTTATTTTCATTAAAATTAGTTTCAGTATACAGCCAGTAGTTACATAGTGAAAACTTAAAGGTAAATGTTCTGTTTATCGTAAATTTAATGATATTATATTTTAGCTTCGATGCGAAGCTGAGAAGGTATTAATTTTACCATGATGTTTTTAGCTTCGATGCGAAGCTGAGAAGGTATTAATTTTACCATGATGTGTTTATTTTTTTTTTT